TGCCGCTACTCTGGCTCGATGGAGAGTCGGGCTCATCTTGCTCGGCGAGATGACGACCGTGAACATCCTCCTGCGCATCTTGTCGCATCTTCCTGATCTTTATGTAATTATAGGCGACAATGGCAGCCATAGTAGTGAGCAAACCGATAAAGTTGATGAGAGTAAGGCGGTCGTGAAAGACGACGGTAGCCGCGCTGATGGTGACGACCTCCTTGAAGATGCCGGCAATGGAGAGTGTGACGACAGACGTACGCTGCAGCAGAGCGAACTCGGATGCCGTCATACAAAAGGCGATGCATCCAGGGAAGAGGAGGAACAGGGGTGCCATGACAGAGCCCCATTCGTTGGCAAGGACCTTGAAGCCTTCAATGAGATTTCCAATACCCTCTACGGGAATAGCCAGGGAAATGAGCACGAGAAACATGACGGGAGTGAGAAAAAAGATGCTAGAAAAGGGATTCGAAGTCGCAGGGTTGCGGAGGAGGAGGATCTGGGTCAGACCCCAACGGAAACCGGAGAAGAAGGCGGCCGAAATGACGAGAACGAAGCCACCCAGCTTGAACTCGACTTCACCGAAAACCATGAGAATGACGCCCATAGTCATGGTAGCAATAATGCCAACGAGGCGCCATGTTGGAGTTTCGAGACGGAAAAGGAAAGCAAAGATAAGGACGAATGCAAGGGATGAGGACTTGCACATGGCTGTAAGAATGGTTAGTCACAAATGGTCAACAGTCAGGAATTTGGTCACATACTGTAAAAAGTAAGGCTGATGAACTTGAGAGACGTGTTTCCCAGTCCAATATCAAGACCAGTGGCGGCGCCACAAGGGCCAATTCTCGTGAGATAAAACATCTTGGTCATGCCATAAGATTTTGGCTCCTCGTCGTGTCTCGACCTCCCCAGATCAGACTGATGCCCGCCGCGACCCGGCCGCAGTGAGGGAATGAAGTACAGCACGAGGCCGGAGAGTATAAACTGCACCACCATGTGCATCGACGTGGTGAAGAGCGGAAAGGCGAAATTGAGGCGGTCCTCGTCAAACATCCACTTGTTGTACTGGAGCCACATTGTCAGCAATTGAAACTTAAAAGAAGGGGGCGGCGTTGTGAGAAAAGGGGGGAAACATACAATAGATATTGACAAGGAAAAGAGATACCACAAGAGGATTAGAAAGCCATTGATGAGAAGGGTCTTGAGAACGCTCTTGTCTGCTTCTTTTCGCTCCTCGGCCGAGATGTCGTTATCCCCCCTCGCGATGCGCTGGTCTAGCTGGGTATTCCTCTTGCGCTTCTTCTGCCTCCTGTGCCGGTCCTTACGAGTCAAACCCGTCTCCTCGTCGTCCTGCAGGTCCTCATCGCTGTAGCTCTCATCCCCCGAGTCGTGTTTGCGAATCGCAAAGCCATTGGCGTCGAGATCTTCCTCCGAGATCTTAGGTTCGTCAGATAAACCGTTTGACACTGGACCGCGACCAGAGGTGGCGCGGGATCTGCTAGGTGAGCCTACGGGGCGACCACCAGAGCTGATCTGGCTGCTTCGACGGCGACGGTGTTCGGCGAGGGGCTCCATCTCGATGTCGTGGTCGTCGGTGTCACTGTCGTAGTCTTCGCCAGTGTGAGACCGGGTGGCCGGAGAGCGAGACGGACCGGCCACTGCTTCGCCTCCTCCTCTGGACCTCAGTTTTGCTGATCTTCCTCTTGAAGCTGGGTTTGTTGATGTTGATGGTGATAATGTTTGTGCTGAAGGATCGAGGTCCGTGGAGTTATGGCCAGGGGCCCTGTTGGTGGCTGACACAGGGAGAGATGCGTCGACGAGGACAAGAGGTTCGGGGGAGGCGGAGGGAGAACGGGAGTCGGTTGGGGGAGGTGGTGAGGGTAGGAGATTGTCGGATCGTGAAGGGGGAGCGGTCATGATGGAGACCCAAGAAATGGAGACGGGGACGGGGCTTTCATATGCGAGCGACTGGACCTGTTGGAGTGGATGGGGAGGGAAGACGGACTGTACGGTACGGGCGATCTGGACTCGGCTGAGCTGGCTGGCTGATGCTGGCTGGTTTGTGGGTGTGTTAGCCAAGAGGAGGCCAGGTCTAGCGTATGCAAAGGGCGGAGCTAGTACGATTGGAGTAGTCATAGAGCTGCGGTCGCTGGGGTCGCGGGGCGGTTTGTAGGGGGCCGGAGCGCATACCCAGCTGTAGCCTTCAAGCCCCAGGTTGGAACTGACTGTCTGTCAGTCACACCTCGCCTTGCCGGGAATTTGATCACTAGACACTGGAACACCGGGAGGATGAGACATGGGGGTAGCATGTCTTCCATGGGTGGTAATGTATCTGCTCTGGGCTCTCTGCGTATTCGGCCTCCTTCATAACGTCAGCTGGATGCTCACCTCTCTTTCGTTCTCTTGCAAGGAGCCCGTCGAGTCCGCTGCCCGTCGAGTGGAGCTACGCGGAACCCCGTGGCGCACCGTCCGTCCGCACGCGACACGGTATCCAGGCGGTTGGAAGAGCCATTATTGGCCGGGGGTCATGTTCTTGGTCCGAGGAGAGCTTGCACAAAGTGCATGGGTTCGCCGCCTTTTGGGTAGGACCATGTTTTTTTACTTGATTATTGACTTGATCGATGAAAAAGAGGTCTTTAATATGCATGTTGTGCCGTCGAAATCATTGAGCGGTGAATGAGGTACGCGAGCTTGGTCAATAGCAAGACTCTTGCTAAAGACAACTTGGGCAGCAAACAAACTAGACGCCTCCAGATTGCAGCCACACCAAGGCCAGCCAGAGAATAGCGATCGCCATATGACCTTCAAGTCGCACACAGTTCGATCTCCTATGCGGGGTTTGAACGGCTAGGGCTGTCGGTCTTGTGTCTGTCTTGACCTGAAGAGGAGAAACATTGCATCAACGATCTTCAATAAGCCAGGCTGCTGATCACCTCCGCACGTGTGGACGCTACAACAGCAATAGTTCATGTGATGGCGTTAATGCATGCCGTTGTGTCCGTCCGTGTACTTTTTCTCTCTCTCGCATCAAGAACTGGACTTCGGGCTTCCTATCCCTTTGCGTTCATCATCCGTCACCACCCCTATCCTTGCCATCAAATTCTCGGCACTTGAGCTCTCTTCTCATGCGAAATGCTTCAGTTCTGAGGCAGCCAGCGGGTCCCGTCCCTTTCAGGGGTGGACAACAGAACCACCCCGGCTCGTATACGGATATCGGAACGGCCATGTTAGACCCTGCATAAAACCAGGCACCATCTTGATTGATGAATGGAAAGTTCCTGACCTAACCTCCCAGCCTCTTTTGCGTTTGTAAACCGTTCAGCTCAACGGCCAGGAGACAAGCTAGCTACTGTAGCTCCGGGCCAGCCGGGGTCCTAGATCCTTGTCAGTCATCATGCAGGCTTTCTATGGGATTTTGCAAAGTGTACGACAATCATGAATTTGACCCATTTTCAGAGTTAATTGCCAGGCAAGTTTCGACCAGCTCGGATAGTGCTCCTTTCATCTACCCAACGCCAACGAGCTCATGTCTCAACCATCGGAAACTTGCCGTATTGACTCCGAGACCCTTTTTTTGCGCCATGGCGTATACTTGGCACGACAATGGCCGACCTTCCATGCCCGTGTGCAACAGTGCTTGGAACTTGTGGTCATAGAAACTGTGTCTTTATCGATTGTCGTTGTGATAATATGCGGATGTCAACCAGGTTATCTAACGATGTGCGCAGAATAGAAGCGTCTGCCACGAGCAATAACTATCCTGGTAAAGAACCGATTGGGTTGATTAAGCATAGTTGTCGGCAATTCCTTTCTTCAATATTCATCTTCATCCCCAAGAAGACGGGCTCTACAACTCACCTGAGTCGCCCATCTGAGTCGAGGTATGTGCCACAACATGGTAAAAGTGCGCTGGATAAAACCGGCTTACCTCCATGGAACGTTGTATGAAAGTAGCGTTTCAGTGAATTAGTCAAAAGGCCCCTTGCTTCGATGGCTGTAGCTTTAATACCTACCGACTTTCGCTCAAGTTGAGGTCGGGTCGTTGACTGCCAGGTCAGACCTCCACACACATACCGGGTAGCCAGCCATGGTGCTCACTATATGAGCCCCATTGGATGAGCACTCCCTTGCTAAGTCTTGCCTGACTTTACTGCTGTGTTCACATCTCTTACCCTAGGCACCTAGATGGATTGAAGCAGGAGACAATGCGATGTAGGTAGTCATGGTTCCATTTCATCATGAGCAATGGAAGCAGAAGAGGAGACGCTTTTAAGCATCCAGGCCAAATAGCCTAGAACATAAATGGTGAAAAGGTGCGCCATCTTGCTTTCTGATAAATACCTTAGTAAAATTCATGTAATAACTTCTCCAAGTCTTTATAATGCCCAAAGCGCGATACCTGCATACTGACTAAACCATCAGTGGCGCTCTCCCAGCAAACCATGGCCACTGGAAGTCACGTCTCAGTCCCCCAAGTCTCGGCATGCGCTCCTGCTTGTCAGACTGGAAAGAAGAAAGGACTCAATTTGTTGGTCAGCTCTTATTAGTTCATCGAGTTGCACGTGGTCAAGAAGTTGGGTGCTGCTTTTGGCAATAGTCGCTGTGATGATCACCCACACCAAGCTTTGAGCTGCACCAGGCGAGCCAAGCATCGTGAAAGCTTATAAGCTCCACCCCCCGCATGCTCTTTCAGCTCCATTTCACGATCATTCTGGAACCTTTCAAGGGATTGAGACACCAATACTGCTCACTCCTTCCCGTATATCCGCAGATCCAGTTTTTTGCTTCGTCGGGACTCTCGGGGCTGCACGATTCCACTGCGGAAGCACTTACACAGTCCATTACATCATCCCCGAGCTACCCAGCTTCAGAACCTCAGCTGTCCATCAACTTGCAACATCTCATCAAAAATGGCTTCTCAATGCTCTGCGGCGCACCCAGGGGGCTCCCGTCGTGCTCAGACGGGAGGATACCTTCCAATTGAGGACTATGGAATGATTGGCAACATGCACACTTGTGCCCTCGTGGGAATCGATGGGAGCGTCGACTTTATGTGCTGGTAGGCGTGACATTTGACCTTCAATCTCAGATCCCTCAGCTAAACTTGTTCTCCAGGCCCGACTTTGACTCTCCATCTGTGTTCTGTCGGTTGTTGGACAAGGACAAGGGCGGTCACTTCTCCATCTCCCCCCCTGATGACTTCAACTGTACTACAAAGCAGCAGTACCTGCCATCGTCTTGCATCCTGCAGACGAGATCCATTCATGAAGATGGCGTCGTGGACTTGGTGGACTTCTTCCCTCGCCCAAAGAGTGCCCAGGTCATGACTAGGGGCACCAAGCTAAACTCTTATCGGGAGGCCACCAAGGTCCAGGAAGAGCTCAAGAAGTGGCTGGTTCGTCGGGTGGAATGCATTCGAGGCAGTCTAACTCTGGGTAATATCTCTACTATTTTCAGAGAAACATGGAACTGACATAGCCAGATGTTGAAATCTTCCCCTCGTTCAACTACGGAAGGGATCCGCATGAAACCATCCTCTACCAGGAGCGTCACATATCATCTGATACCAAGAGTAAGGTCGCCGCTTTCCACAGCAAAGACTACAAACTCCAGCTCGATGTCGCACTCGAGAAGGGAGAGGATGAGAACAGCTGCCCTGCCATCACCTTCAAGAAGGAGAAGCGCCCCGGAACTCTCGGTGAGGGTCTTGTTGCTCGCATCCAGATCCAGGAAGGCCAGGCCATCTCCTTTGTCCTTCGAAATGATATCAACAATCACATCACTGAGCATATCTCCACCGAGGTTCTGGATGCTCAGCAGCACGATACTCAGACTTTCTGGTACAACTTCATCTCGCAGTCCAAGTACAAGGGCCGATGGAGAGAGGTTGTGTCGAGAAGCTTGATGATTCTCAAGATGATGACATACGGTACAGATGCTGATAGCTTTTATCTTTCTTTTGTCTTCATACTGATTTTTTTGCAGAACCTACCGGTGCCATCATCGCCTCACCCACATTCTCCGTCCCTGAAGCCATCGGAGGTGTGAGAAACTGGGACTATCGCTACTCCTGGATCCGAGACTCGAGCTTCACCATCTACATTCTTCTCCGTCTCGGTTTCAAGGCTGAAGCTGATGCCTACATGGAGTTCATCATGGAGCGTTTCGTTCACTCACGGGGCCCAGATGGCGGCCTGCCCATCATGTTCACCATTCGCGGCGACACCGATATTCCCGAGCTCACCCTGGACCATCTCGAGGGATATCGTGGCAGCAGCCCTGTTCGTATTGGTAACGGCGCAGCTTTTCACCAGCAGTTTGATATCTACGGTGAGCTGATGGATGCCATCTACCTGTACAACAAGTACGGAAAGCCAGTTCCCTGGGATGTCTGGAGGGCTGTACGTGACATTCTTGGTAAGTTGAGCAACCGTCTTATCAGACTATACTAACTAATCGTAGATTACGTCTTGACAATTCTTGACGGTGAGTAATGGACAACATGAAACAAGGGTTGTTCTAACAATACAGATCCCGACATGTCCATCTGGGAAGTCCGTAACAACAAGCAGCACTTTACTTACTCACAGATCATGCTCTGGGTTGCATTTGACCGTGGCCTGCGTCTCTCAGAAAAGAGATGCTTCCCCTGTCCCAACCGCGCCAAGTGGATGGAAGCAAGAGACAATCTCTACGAACGCGTCATGGAGAAGGGTAACATCCTCCGTCTCACAATCATGGTTGATGAGCTGACAGTTGGTCAGGATACAATGAAAAGATGAAGTCTTTCGTGCAGAGCTTCCAGAACAACACCATGCTCGACTCTTCTATCCTCATTGCACCCCTGGTGTTCTTCATCTCACCCTGTGACCCGCGTTTCCTCAACACTCTCGACCGTATCCTCCTACCCCCTGAAAAGGGCGGCCTGACAAGCACCGGCTTGGTATACCGCTACGACACCGAGCTCTCCGACGACGGTTAGGTCCCCTGATATAAAACCCCCCCTTGACAGAAGAGTAGCTAATGTAGCGGGAATGTATTTAGGAGTAGGCGGACACGAGGGCGCATTCAGCATGTGCACCTTCTGGCTCGTCGAAGCCATGACCCGCGCATCCGTCTACGAGCCCAAGTACTTGGTTCGGGCGGTCAACCTCTTTGAGAACATGCTGGGCTTCTCCAACCACCTGTGCATGTTCTCCGAGGAGATTGCGCGCAGCGGCGAGCAGCTGGGCAACACGCCCCAGGCTTTCAGTCATCTCGCCTTGATCAGTGCTGCGTTCAACCTAGACCGCGTGGCCGAGAAGGGGCTCAAGTGATGCGGGATCTGTGGTTCAGAGCAGTGAGCCGTGAAGGGGCACTTTCACCTGTACAAGAATGACCCTGTCCTGTTAATTGCGCACTGTATCATCGTTGCCTTGAGTAATGAATGCATCAGAGTATCTCATTGACGTATTCACATGTATCAACTGCATAAATCAGTCTCTTCTCAAATCATCCAACTACCTAGTCTCTCGGCTCCACCGACACAGAATCTCCAACTTCAATCGTAGGGTACTGCGTCTCCTTCGTAGTGCAGTCACCCTGAGCAAAAGAGTCATGCCGCATATGAACCCCAAAGTAGACCTTGCCATCGAAACGCCTTGTCTTCGCTAACGTGACAAACGGCTCTTCCCTCTTCTCACCTGTCTCTTGATCAATGCAGACCATCTGGCATCTGTGACACGCACCCAAGAGCTTAAAGTTTTGGCGCCCAATGTGTACAGAGCCCCAGTCATCTTCGGCAAAGGCTGTATAAGCCTTTGTGCCAGGAGCATGTTCCAGAACAATATTGGCCCGGAATGCTCGCTCTTCGACAGGGCTGCCACCTCTGTTCATGATTTCCCTATTCAGCTCATCCACACTTGAGCTGTGTATCATAAGAATGGGGCTCTCGTTCGAGAGTAGGATCTTTGCTGGCTTCTTCTGTTCCGAGTCAGAGTCGGGTGGCGACGGAACGTCCGGAAATGCCCCTGGAAGAGTCCGAATCCTGCTGGGCTGCTGATATCGTTGTACCCGTGCCTTGGAGAGGCGACTCTTCAAACCGAGACCACCTGGAGGGAAACGTGCCAGAACACACGGGACCCCTAAAACGCTTGAGAAGAAGCCGTTGATGCTTTCTGAGGTGTAGAGCTGCGTAGATACCTCTTCTCCGCATACTCTTGATCGTTGTCGGTCGAGTGTTGAGTCGATGACTGAGGGATCGGCCGATAAAGGTATAGAAATTTGATGCGGCTGGTTGTCACGCCGCTTCCCATGATATGATACCACCAATTCTCCCTTGTCGAAGTCAATGCGTGGTCGTAACAGAGCCATTCTGGGACATCTTTTCTGGTTAAGCGCGTGTCCGGAACCGTGGTGTACTAAGCACCATTCGCGATCCCAGGCCAATCCTTCAGGTCGAATCTCCCAAGAAACTCGAGGTGGGATCGAAAAGCCAGCGCAACTCTTGATTGGGTATATGGTGATGGTTTTCACCTGGAGCCGAGGGAACTCGGATATAGCTGTTGGACTCGTAGTGCTGATGATAGGTTCGATCGTCGGTAACGTGGTTTCCAGATAAAACTCTTTGATGAAGTCGACGAAGCGATCTACATCTGCCTTGGTACTCATAGCACCCAAGCTTGCCCGAATGACGCCCGTGGGTTTACCTGACATGATATCGTTGTCCGCTCCGCATCTGAAGCCTGCAGAAAAGTTTTTCTTCATCTCCCAAGGTTGTAAACCAAGAGCTGAAGCAATACCCCCCGGGCTGCATAATCCGCCTGTTCGAATGTGCATCTTTTTCAGATTTGCAAGCTTCTCGAATTCAGTCAGGCTAACCCAGGCACCACGGCTATTCCTTAGATTAAAGGAAACAACAGGGCCAGTTCCTAATGATTCGACTCCAGAAGAGGCCTTGGTATAGAGGGCGCAGACGGGCTCGCCATTAGCGTGGCGTAACTCGCTCAGTTCCCTTAACAGTCGCCGGCTGAGGTACGAGGTATGGGATTTGATTTCGTCCATGGTACCAAACAGTCGCTCGTGTACTTCCATAGCAATATCGAGAGCAATTATGCTATGAAAAGGAAGCGTGCCGTCCTCCAATCGTTCGTGGAGAGAATGTGACTTTGGTGCATGCCATTTCTCCTTTCCGCACACAACCATGTCGACAGTACCGCCGCCGAAATACTTTCGGTGATCAAATACCCATTCCGCAGACCGCCGAACAAGCAAAGCACCAAGGTCGGGAAATCCAAATATTTTGTATAGACTGACGACAATGAAGTCGGGTGTAATGGTAGGATCGCTTAGATCGAGACGGGAGGTGGCGGCAAACGAGGATGCGTCCAACAGTGTGAGTAGGCGAGATTTTGGATTTCGATTAGCCTCTCTTAGATCTCTACTCCATGTTAAAGGGTATCTTTTCCCATCCATGTGAGACTGAGCCGAATATGAGAAGAGTGTCGAGGGTGGTGAAGCGTAGGTGGTATCCATGAAGGGAGAGTTCCCCTTTAACCAAGATTGAAGGTTTTCATCATCGATCAATGAACTGTCGATAGCTTCCTCTCGAGCCCCGACTAAGCTGGTATGACAAGCCTCATGGTAGGCATAAAGGAAGCCTTGGGGCAGAGTTCTCATGGCGTCAACTACCAGTTTCACACCAGCGGTGGCATTGGCAACAAACACCACATCGTACTCTGCTGGGTCCGCTCCGAAGAAGTTTAACAAATTCATGCGAGCATCTTCGATTCGGGAGGTTGAGTTCTGAGAGGATGGGGAGGCAGAGTGGGGGTTGCCATATATCGTTTCCATCATTGAGGATGTGAAAGCGTCCATCAAGGACTTGGAGCATAACGTTGTGCCGGCATGGTCGAGGTACACAGAGTCTAAACAAGTTAGTGTTTAATATGGAAACGTTTATTTCAAGACACGAACCCTGTAGCATAGGGTACTCTCTTGCTCTGAAGTGCTCTACCGCCACGTTATAGCGGTAACCGTTGGTGCCGCCGCTATCCGTGTCCATTTTTGCCATATCTGACGGTAGAAACCCTAAAGTATGAAGAAGAAAGATGTCGAGAGTCTTTGAATGCTTCGAAGAGTTATTCTTCTAATAGCGATGGGCTATCCAAGGGTTTCATATGCTGCACCGCCTCTTATCATGCGTGGATGAAGGCGGGCTGTATCATGGGCGAGCAAGAGTGGGGCGGTCGTGGGGGAGGAGCTATCTGCACCAAGCCGAGGATGAAAGACAGAAGATGATGCGGAGTATTGAAAGAGCTTTGATGCGCAAGTGGATGTGGTAATTATTCAAGAGTATTAGAAAATCGCATTGATGTGACAAGTCGAAGCAGAGTCACTTCTGATGGCGGTCAGCTGCATTATTGTTTGCCTCTTGTTTGCAAGAGTGGGAGAGGTTTTGCTTGGACATGATGTAAGAAATCACCCCCGGATTGTTTGTTAGGTGCAGGCGGAGATCGCCACGCTCCTTCCCAGGCACACTCGCCGGTTACCGACCGATACCAGAGGATAATTGGCCCGAGACTGGCCGGAGATTCCCAGGGAAGCGGCGACCAGGCAATCAGTGATTGCCCCAATGCCGCGATGCGCCCAAGACGGGACTGGCACGGGACTGGCACGGGACTGGTGAAAGCAGGTACGTACCTGCCGACACCTTCCCCGGAACGGCTGCATCAGGGCCCGCAGCTGGTCGCAAACGTCCATCCATCGGAGGAGCAGGAGCCGCCCCCCTTGTCAAACAATCAAGGCCCCACTCAAATCGCTCGCGCGCGCGCCGGGCCAGCTCAGCAAACCAAACCTCCAACTCGCTCCCAGCCAACCAACGTAAACTTAGTTTCTTCAACTTCACTTGACCTCACTTCCTCGTATCGGTTTATCGCCCCGAGGTGAGGCCTGTTGGAGCGCAACTTTCTCCAGCTCAGCGCCATCTTCATTGCCAAAGTCGCGCTCATTCAATTAGTTTGTCTCCCCCAATACTCTTTGAGTATCCTTCTCTCTCTTTCCCTTCTCCCTCTACCTCTACAACGTTTCAACCATCGATCCAGCCGCATTCGCAGCCTCGCGTTGTCCCCTCAGCCGCCCCTATCCTCCTGCCACCATCATGATGCCATATTCATTCTCTTTTCATTCTTCTTCTCATCTCTTGTCATTCGTTCAGGGCGCGTCGCCCTAGAGCCACCTTCTTCATGGCGCCTCTTTGGCATCCCTACTTGTTTTCTTGCTTCTGGCTCTATTCCTTGTCCAAACATTCTTCAGGATCGTCTCTCTAACCGCAATCATGTTGCCAAATAATAGGCACTACCTCGGCAAAGCCCGCAATTCACTTTCAAACATCCGCGCCCCAACGAATTGACTTTCTCTGCATTAAAGAGCTACCTACTCCCATGCCACGTCGCGTCCTCCTTACCGAAACCAACAATGGACTCGTACACCTCTTTTCGAGATGCCTCGGCTCGCTCTCCCGTTGAGAGAAGCTGGAGTCGCGATGACTCGCGCAACCGAGATGATCGCCCCGAGCGAGGCGATTCCTTTTATCGTGGAAGGTCACCAGGTTCGTCGTGCAACCTCGAGTTTTGGACTTGACTCGTATCACACTGAACAGCACCGCTCACCATTCCCAGGTCATGAACGTCGCGACCGCCGCCGATCTCGCTCACCCGCCACAGTTGATCGCTATGAACCGCGATCTCGTCGAGACGATCGCGACCGTGGGGATCGTGGCGACCGTGACGACCGACGTCGTATTACTTCACCCCCCGCCAATATTGATCGATATGTTCCTGGCCAGGAGGCTAGCTCCTCCGGCAATGTCACAGTCAACCCACTGGCCGATCCTGTCAAGCTCCCGTACCAGGTTGGCTTCTCATACTTTGGTGAATGGTGGAGAATGAATGAGAAGATCAAGGAAGAAAAGGAGCGAATTCGCACTGGTCGCCGGCGTGAACCCGAGAGAGCCCGTGGCCCAGAGGACCGTGAAAAGGAAAAGGCCAAGATTCAGGCGGCTTATGACGCGTATAAGGAGGAGTTGCAGGCCAAGATGGCTCGGGCGTTTGTCTCAGAGCACAAGAGAGAGCAGTGGTTCAAGGAGCGATATGCCCCCGAAATCCGTGATGATTTCCGGGCGAAACTGAACGAGCACCGACGTGGCGCTTACAGCCAGTGGGAGCAAGACCTCGAGTCTGGCACCTTTGATGATTTCTCTTTGGAAGGTCTTCCTAAGAGTGAAAGCAATGGTAGCGGGGGTGTTGTTGAGAAGGAAGAGGGCGAGGCAACGGCCACTAATGAGATCCTTGGTGTTGGCGATCTCGTACCAGTGAACGGTGCTGACATTCGAGACGAGAATCAGTTTCAGCCTACTCTTTTGATCAAGACTATCGCCCCTCACGTCAGCCGTCAGAACCTTGAAGCCTTCTGCAAGGAACATCTCGGAGAGGAGGAGGGAGGCTTCAAGTGGCTCTCTCTTTCTGACCCCAACCCCAGCAAGCGCTATCACCGGATTGGATGGGTCATGCTTCACCCTTCTTCAGAGACGGCAATGCCAGTTGACCGTATTGACCCTAAGGATGAAGACGGTGATGAGCAGATCACGTCGCCTCAGCCAGTATCAACCGCTGACAAGGCTCTGGAAGCCATCAACGGAAAAACGGTCAAGGACGAGGTCCGGGGTGATTTTGTTTGCCATGTTGGAGTTCACAACCCGCCTGTCCACCCTCGCAAGAAGGCTCTTTGGGATCTTTTCTCTGCACCTGAACGCATTGAAAAGGATCTGCTTCTTGTTCAGCGAATTGTCAACAAGTTTGAGGAAGAGTTTGGCTCTGATTTCCAGGCCACTCTGAAGATTGAAGAAAAGGTCGAGGACCTGAGGAATGCTGGTCAGCTTCAGCCGGCCGTTCCCCCAACTCCGGTCAAGAAGGTCAAGAAGACGCGCGAGGTGGGCATGGATGAAGCTATGGATGAAGAAGAAGACGGCGTGATTGAAGTTGAAGAAGAGGAGGAAGAGGGTGCCGTGGACGACGACGAGGTTGATGACGAAGATCTCCTAGTCAAGAAGAAACAGCTCGATCTCTTGATCGAGTACCTGCGCCGAGTTTTCAACTTCTGCTTCTTCTGTGTCTTTGAGAGTGACTCGATTCACGAGCTTACGCGAAAGTGCCCAGGTGGTCACTTACGCCGACCACGCAGCACATTGTCTTCTTCAGCCAAGGCGGTGGCCCGGGCCAGCGCTAATGGCGAGCCCTTCCCTGGCAAGAAGCGAGGAGAAGGAGCAGAGGAGCCAGAGAATGAACCTACAGAGGGGGACAAGAAGTTCCGAAACGCGTCTAACAAGACGGAGCAGCAGCTTCTCCGGGCCTTTAACTGGGTCAAGACGTTTGAAGACAAGTTGACCCAGATCCTGGACCCTCACTCTGTTGACATCCGGAAGCTTGGCGGTCGTCCTGTGGACGAGGCTGTTGATGAGGAGCTTTCCAAGCATGTCAAGCAAGAGGATGAACACAAGTGGCGCTGCAAGGCACCGGAATGTTCCAAGCTGTTCAAGGAGGAGCATTTCTGGCGCAAGCACGTCGAGAAGCGCCATTCTGACTGGCTCGATAGCATCAAGCAAGAGGTTTGTCTTCCCTTCTCATACCTAAACAACATCGACTAACTGAGTTTTTAGTTTGACCTAATCAACGCATATGTCATCGATCCTGCACACATTGCACCATCAAGGACGGATGCCAACTCGAATGGTCATTTCCCACCTGCTAATGGCCAGTCGAACACGGGCACACCCCGTGGTTTCAATCTCCAGAACTTTGCCATGAATGGCATGATGGGTATGCCTGGATTCCCTATGCCCCCTGGCGGATTTACCCCTATGTTTGCGAATATGCAGTCTGGTGGCTGGAACCCCATGGGTGACGACCGTTCTGGAGGACCCATTCGCCGAGGAGGTATGGGTGGTGGCCGCGGCCAGTATCGATCTGGTCCGTATGACCGCCGTGGCGGAAACCGTTACGAAGGTGGCCGCAACCGTATGGGCGGCTCTCGATGGGGAGATGGTGCCGGCGGTGCTGCTGGAGGCCCCCGTGAGGCGGTACAGGGACGAAGCCTGAAGAGCTACGAAGACTTGGACCAGGTTTCTGGTGGTGGAGGTGGCGAGCTCAACTACTAGACTGACATATTGCTTACAGTACAAGCTCATGAGGAGGAGCTGGAGTTGGTTGCTTTCATATTGGGTTCCTGGGCAACTGGATTCAGGTGTCGTGGAGACGAGTATCTCGCGATACTCCGTGTAGATTATGCTATTGTTACTACTTGCTGGTTTCGAAGTCGATTTTTGAGCTTCGATAGGCCATGAAATTGCATCATATTCCCATTCTAATCTCATTGCTTTCTTGAAATAGAGTCTGTCTTTTTGAATGAATGGATACTTCCATCGGTGAGCCTCGGTGAAAGGTGAGCTAGCGGATCTGGTGGGGCCATGCACATTCTTATCGACCAATAAAGGTCTGCGATAAGATATTTTCGCGACGCACATCCCCACCGCCCACCTCTTTTTTCTGTAGTGAACTCTCCAACGTGCACCTGTTCAAGCCAGCGATTGCCTTCTTCAAGCCTTACAGTCGCAAAGATGGGACTCCTTGCAGAGAATAAGATGTAAGACTGTCGCATTGGCTAGGCTCCTCTGTGACTGTTTGCTAATCTGTTGACTACAGCCGACGAAAGATCAACAAGGATCCCAACAACACCAAATGGACTCGAGACACCAACACCTTTGGGCAGAAGATCCTTCGTGCCCAGGGCTGGCAACCGGGCCAGTTCCTCGGAGCTGAGAATGCGCCGCACTCGGAGCTGCACACAGCTGCAAACGCCTCATACATCCGCGTCGTTCTCAAGGATGACATGAAGGGACTGGGTTTCAGCAGGTCCAAGGAGGACGAGATTACAGGACTCGATGTCTTCCAGGACCTGCTCAGCAGACTCAACGGAAAGACAGAGGATGAAGTTGTGGTGGACCAGCAGGCGCGCCTCGCTGTCAAGACCCATCACTTTGTCGAACAACGATACGGACCGATGCGATTCGTTTACGGTGGTCTTCTGGTGGGCGATGAGATGAAGGAGAAGGACGATGAGGAAGCCAAGACACCCAAGGACGAGGACGAAGACGTGATTATGGAATCCGCCCCGGCACCGAAGGAATCTAAGAAAGAGAAGAAGTCAAAGAAGCGGAAGGCTAGCGAAGACGACGAAGACTCTTCCAGCCGAGATTCTGACTCCAAGAGCAAGAAGAGACGCAAGGAGGAACGCAAGCTGAAGGAGAACGACAGCAGCGCCGACACGGACGATGCCAAGGCCAAGAAGAAGGATAAGAAGTCCAAGAAGGACAAGTCGCGCAAGAAGTCTGCAGATGCCTCGGAAGAGGAGTCAGAGGAGCGCTCCAAGAAGCGGAAATCCAAGTCCAAGGATAAGAGCCGGTCTCCCGAAGACTCGGAGGAAGACAAGGTAAAAGAGAAGAAGTCTAAGAAGGAGAAGAAGGAAAAGAAAGACAAGAAGCGCAAGAAGGAGGAGGCTGCGTCTGAGTCAAGCAGCACCGTCGCCACGCAAGAGTCAACGCCTGTGCCGTCTATCCCAGGAACCGGGGTGACGACACCATCCGGAACATCAACTCCTCGGGGAAGCAGGAACTTTGTGCGGTCTCGATTTATTGCGCAGAAGAGACAGGCTGTGTTGGATACCAAGGCGCTGAACCAGGTTCGTACAACCCAGCTGTTGCCATCTTGCTGGACTATTTCGTTAACGAGAAGCAGATTTTCATGGTCAAGGCTTAAATCAGTTTTTCTTTTATCTGGAACTGGAAAACAAAAGTGTTTGAATGGGGAGTAACCATAGACCAAGGTACGGGAGTGTACGAGACGCTGTTTGAAAGGCCAGCGCTGGGTCGGTGTCACAGATACACAGCTAGAAGGGTTCGTCACATCTCTTGGAGTCGCGGGAAATTCGCCAATCTCAAGCCTAAGACTTGGCTTGGTTTCAACATCGAATCATGGAAGAGAGTAGTCAAGGTGTGCCTGATGATCACACCCAAGGAAACACAGAAGGAGGGAAGCATAGCGAATTTTGATGCAGATCATTTACTTCATTTATTTACTGCTCCTATAGCTGAACTCGCTCTCAGCATTCGTCTCCATGGCCAAATTACCAGCTCATTACAACAAAACAAGAGCACTCAACCCCAACACTATTAATACATCGATCGTTGCCTCGCGAGTTTGATCGTTTGCTTTGTGAGTTTTTCGATCATTTATTTCTCCGCGTTCTTGCCAAAGTTGCTGCAGCCATGTTAGCTCTTTATCATAAAGTAACATTGTGATGTGGTGATGACAACGTACTTATGGAAGAACTGGCTGAAGATGCCGCCCTTTGCTTGTTGGTCCGACATGCTCGCGCGACGGGCGGCGTTGGCGTCGGAGCCTCGCTTTTGCTGTTGGAGGCTTGCGAAGGCAGGCATGAAGCCAGAGCTCTGGTATGACTATTAGTATCAGGCCATTGAGGAAGGGGACAGGGACGTTACTCGGCGGCGACCGCTAGCGTTGGTGGTTTGGTTGTTTTGGGGAGCACCAGAGTCCATGATTGCGGTTGTGAAGTTGATGATATGTGGGTTATCAAGTGTGCTTATATGGAGGACACAGTCGTGGTCAATGGTTGTTTAGGACAAGAATCCAATGGAGGTTGAAGTATGAAGACAAGAAGAGCTTGAAAAGGAGGGGAGGAAGCTCAGCTTATATGTGACAAGGCGATCAGACAACTCGCCGTCGATCTTCAGGTCAGGAAGAAACGAGGTACGTAGACAAAGCTTCCCGCGGGCGTCCCTGCTGCACCACTGCAAAAGGGCAACGCCATCATCACCACTTGCCTCTGAGTGTAGCACAAGGAGACAACCACACGCTACTAGCTCGCCCCGTGTCAACCATGCATGTAAGTGACGGCGATAGGCTGGGCGCATCCGTAAGCTTTGCGCCCGGGGCCCTCCATCCGCCATCCCACATGCTGGGCCATGCTTCCTTTGGAGGAATGGGCCAAACGAGACCATGACCGAGGTGGCGTTCCTCTTTCGCCTCTGGTCCCCTTCTTTCTGCCGTGCTCCAGCAGAGGAGAGCTCGCCGTCTGCCAACCAGGTCTCTTCGATCGCCAGACACTGAGGAGCTGGGTCTCTCCTTCACTGTGAATCTGATGCAAAAAGAGGGACCCTTTGAATCATCACCTGCCCCAGCAGCAAAGGGGGGTGCTTGGAAGCGGGGAGGGTGGAATGTCCGCCCTCGCCTGTGAGCATCATGGCTTTTCGCTTTTCCCTGAGAGGCGCTGATCTTGACCCGTTTTCCCCAGACCCAGACGCGGAGAGGGCTTGTCAAAGCAGGTCACACCACCACACTCGGCAGGGGAATTACTAACACACACAAGACAAGAGTCCAGGCCAGCCACAGAAGCTGCAGCGTTGCATTTTGCGGAGGTCGGAGGGGTCCAGTTGTCCGCGGTTGCAGGTTGGAGGGATGCAATTCCCCCTCTTCTAGCTAGAGATTGATCATGATACCACAACCGTCAAGAAGGGATTGACATACCTTTCTCTATCCTCAATGACGACGTTGAAGTGGGAATTGGGGTGCGTTCAGTAGAAGCGGGGCACTTCACCTGGCGTCGACGGGGCTCGAGGTCCGGTGGGGCCGGCCGGTTCGGGGCCTTGTGGGGCTGTTCTTGGGTTCGCTCCTCTCCAAGCGAGAGAGGGCAAGTGCCGGAAGCGGGGGAGAGTGACTTGGCGAGTAATTGAATTGTTAAGCAAATGACTCCAATGCATGCAAGAGAAGACAGGGTCACATGAAAGATGGTGACTAACAGACATTGGATGATAATCTTGCAGTAAAGATTTCAGGGTCCTCCAAACGGTCATGTCGTGTGCGTAACCTTTCAAAAGTCGACGACGTGAATGGCTTCGGTAGATGTGGGGCAGATCCTCGTCTTGGACTTTAACTGACGATATGACCCGTCTCTAGATCCTCGATTCCCGTGTCTAGTCAGGGTCCTTCCTCATCAGGGGCTTTCCATCGTCGGTATTGGAACCATCCGAGCTTGTTTATTTTTTATTTTGAAAATGTTCCTTTCGTCTAGTCATGATACTGTACGACAAAATCACGCCCCTCCCTTTCCTGCACCCCGTCTAGATGCCACAAAGTCCACCTCTAACACTCTCGTCTTTTTTGGTCTTGTATACAATCAACCCCTGGCCTACTCCTTCTCTAATCTCACCGCCGGGTTCCTCTCGATAAAGTTGAGATCCACCTTGTGGCCTAGCAGCTCTCGGATGTTGGAGATCTTGTACTTGATCATGGTCGGCCGCTCCAAGCTCAGACCCCAGCCAAACACCCGCATATCCTTGGGAAGACCCATGGGCTCCAGCATCTCAGGTCGGAACATGCCACTGTTGCCAATCTCCACCAGCTTGCCCAGACCCTCGTGGTAGCTAAAGATCTCCATGCTAGGCTCGGTGTAGGGGTTGTACGCCGGCTTGAATTTGAGGTTGGTGATGCCCATCTTGGCGAAGAAGACCTCCATAAACTCCATCAGACCTCCCAGGGTCAGTCCGTAGTCGGCAATGACACCCTCCACCTGGTGGAACTCGGCCAAGTGAGTCGCATCCACAGTCTCGTTACGGAACACTCTGTCGATGGAGAAGTATCGGGCAGGGGGTGGTCGTCCATCGGGACCCTTCTGAGCCGCCAGCTTGTACAGCATCGCCGTTGAAATGGCAGTAGTGTGTGTTCGAAGGACCAGTCTTGTCGACTCATCGGCCGACCAGGGGTATCTGTAGCCGATCGATCCAAACTTGCCGTCCTGGTGCACCTCCTTGATGTTCTCCCAGTACTCCTCTGTGTTCTGTCCCTCCTGCTCTGTCCGCGGCTTGTCGCCCACCTTGGGGTCCGAGATGTAGAAGGTGTCCTGCAGATCACGGGCAGGGTGCTGCTGGGGCACGAAGAGGGCGTCAAAGTTCCAGAATCCGGTCTCGACGAACTTGTTGGTGGGCATCTCCTCGAAGCCCATCTCGAAGAAGATTTGTCTGAACTCGTGTCGCACCTTGTTCAGGGGGTGGAGGGCACCGGCGTTCTGGTCGGCTCCCAGGGCCTTGAAGTTGTAGGGCTTGAAGTTGGCCGTCTTCCACGAGCCCGACATGATCATGTCAGCCGTCAAATCCGTCTCCTCCTTCTGGATCTCGAGGGCGAACTTGGGGCCCTGGGCCATCTTGAAGCTGATGACCTTTTGCATCTTGATCAGTTTTCGCTTTCGCAGGTCGGTCAAGATCTTGGGCTCGTGGGTTCGGGTCTCCTTGATCTGCAGGAGCTGGGCTCGGGTGACATCCTCGATCGACTCGGCCTGAGATAAGAGGTTAGCTATTATTCAAGGACACCACTTGCTTCAAGTGTTACGGCACTTACAGTAGCCACAAGCTTTCCGTCCTTGCTCTTGGAAATCCACTTTTCCTTAAAAGCCTTGCCCTGGCCAACCTTGGTGACAGTCTTGTCGCCAATCGCCTGCTCCAGCTCCTGAATGGTCAAACCCTCAACAGCGCTGCGCAGAGCCTCAAATACACGCGCCTCATGGCTGCCATGCTCGGCAATCTTCTCGGCCTCTGGCTCCAGACCAGCCTCTTCTCGGTCAATTGTCTCGTAGGTGATCATGGATCGCGAGGCCAGACGATCGAGTGCGGCCTTGATGTCCTGGAAGGCGATGGTGGGGAAGGCCTCAGCGGAGAGGAGGGGGCTCTGGGCCGAGAGGGCCTGGAGGATTTGAGAAGTGAGATCCCCCGCAGGGGCAGAGCTTGAGGTTGTCATGATGGGCGCTTGTCTCTGTGTATGATGAGTCTGAGACGAGTTTGCTCTTCTTCTTCTTCGTCGTTGTTCGTCTGAGTCACGGCAGAAATTATTTGGGCCGGTGCTGCACCACCCACCACTGCACATCCGATGGCGGGGTACGGAGGTACTTTGGCCAGCTTCAGTGTGTCCCGCGTTTTTCGGGGTTACCCTTTCTCCGATATCCGACCTCCTTGGCCGTTGGCCTGTCGGTACTCGTAAGTGTCAGTCACATATGATCCCTGCCAATCCTATCATGGCCTCTCCCAAGCTCCAACAACTCCGTTCCCACCTCTCCAGGCTCCCATAAGAACTTGTATCTTGAATTTTCCTAATTTCAGCCTGTCGCTTTCTCATTTTTGTCTTTGATTCGATCTTCTGAGCTTCCATCAATCACACATCACCCACAAGAGTCGCCCATGATCTGCACGTGCTCTTCCTGAGCTATCGCCCTGCTCATATGCAGAACTGGCTCGTCCGCGAACCCGAGAACAGATGACGAGCCCCGAGAATGAGCCATGATGCCTCGCCGAGCTCTACGGCGCGAACCGATGCTCCTCCCGTCGAGCCTCTCCCCGCGTCCTCTGCCAACCGTGTCACCCGGGATCTACTATCGCCTGAGCAGCCCAGGTCCCGGTCGCGCGCCCAGTCGCACTCGCAGCGCCGCAAGAAGAAGAAGAGCAGGAAGCGGCGCAATCCGGGCCTAGCGAGAAAGTTGGAATTCATTACACATTTGCTCAAGAGTCTTGATACCCTGGTGTTTGCGGAGTTAAGCGCGCTGTATTATATGGAGTATGTTCTCATCCGCCCTTGTTTACTTGCCCGGCTTGCGCTTACAAATGTCTACCTCTAGATGCTCCATGTTTCGATTTATCCTACGATCTGTCGGCCAGTACATGTATTTGACACCTAAGGATGAGTCATTTCCCTTCCTCACGCCCGCCAGTCGCATACATGTCGTGTTAGTCGTCATCCCCAACCTCATCTGCATGCTCCTCCATCTATTTGCTTCGCTCCCGACTGGACCAGACTACCATCGAGGATATATGCATGGCGGCTTGGTCATTGACTTTATAGGTCAGAAGCCGCCAACGTCACGGATTTACTACCTACTTGCCGATTTTGCGATCCTGGCCATCCAATGTCTGATGTTGACGGCACATACGGAACGGGAAAGGCTTCGCCTGACCCTCAAGACATTCCGCCCTCTAATACCAGACGTCGCCCAGGAGATGGGACCCACCCTAGAAGACCTAGATGCAGAAGAGCGTGGCGTATCTCGGGACATGCCTGGGTCGTTACCACCAAATGAGACTGAGGACATCGAGTTGCAACCGCTTAGGCCTATCAATGAAGCAGAAGAGGGCAGTTCGCAGTCGGGAGAACCAGATCCGCCTGCAAGGGAGTCGCCAGCAGACGAGCCGACAAGGACCTACCTTTCGGACGTGCTGAGCTCTGGAAATGCAGTCATTGGCGAGTATCATGTCCTGCATTCTATGCGCAATGCGGCAATGGATCTCGAGAGGACGGCAGCACACTCCCTACGTACCATTAGCTACGGGGCGACCATGGCAGCCATTGAAGCCCGCAGGCGGGGTGTCACCGTACCAGCTCGCCAGGGGCAGACTGATAGACGGCAATGAGATGCAAGAGATGATTGTCAGCGACTGTGCCATCGATTGTTCCGAATGCTGCATGAACTAAGTATGAATTGCTTCAGAAATGAATTGCTTCCTTGCTTTACGCTATCTTCCTTCCAACATTGCCAACGCCAGTACCCTTAACAGAAACAATAATATCATTGGTGTCGTCCTCGACATCTCTCAAGCCCCAGCTGCTCGCGCCAAATGTCCTTAGATCCCTAGCCAGTCCAACCATCTCTTCAGTTCCAATTACCTCGCGGCCGATCCTAAGACGACCGACATCTTCTGATCCCATGGCCATGAGAATGAGGACCGATTTGGCAGAGGTCTGAGTAACGCATCCGCCCTGTGAGATGGTCTCAAGTAGCTGGAAGGCGCATCGCCTGCCAATGTCCTCAGGAACCACACCACCTGAAGGCGGAACGACCACGTCGGCTGAGTAGAGTACACCAACTGCGCTCGACTCGGCGACCAAGCTCAGACCAAAACCAATTCCCAACCGCCTCTTGCTTCCTGCCTTGTCGCCGGTGGGCACGAGCGGCGCCTGGTCGTACTGGGCAGCAACATGGATATCGGACACCAGGGGGTTGAGGATCTCGCGCGCCGAGTGGATCATTCGGGCATTGTTTGAGGCAGACACTCCAGTGCAGTATGCGACACCTCGAATCCTTTTTATTCGGCCGGGGCTTCGGTTGAGATGTAGGGTCTTGGGTAGTCGCACTTGACTCGCGAATCGCAGCTCGACGCATCCACCACCGCCTCGTCCGCCTGGTCCTGCGCAGGATCGCTGAAGCACCCTCAGCTCTATCCGCGCGGGAGGGATGCCAAAGAGGCCGAAGAGGGGAAGGATGGAGGTTCGGAAGGAGTCGACGGAGATGTCGCCCGTCTCGGTGGAGGATGTGATGACGCCAGGGCCCGAGATACGGACGTTCATGTGGGCTTTCGAGAAGGGCGCCAGAAGACAGAGAGGCATGAGGTAGTAGGTGACGCCTCGGGTGTTGTTCATGGAGATGTTGTGCTCGATGACGTCTCCGTCTGAAGCTCCAAAGCCGGCAATAGTTCCTGTGATCAAGCCAGGATGATATGTGATTGTCGTACCCGAGTACGAGATCTGCATCGAGCTGCCATTGGTGACAGCCTCGAGCATGCGCAAGAAGGAAATCTCATGAGGGGCGAGACCGGGATTCGTAGGCGACGTGCTTCGAATCTTGGAGATGTGAACAGGTCGGCCGGTCAGAGTTGATAGAATCAACCTCTGGGTAAAGTGCCGGTGGCCTGTGAACCGGAGGAACTCTGGCGAAGGGTTCGACATTTTGCTGTGGTTGGGGTATCTTGAAGTCGCAATATTGCAGCTTCGCCAGCGACAGAGCAAAAAAATATCTTTCTGCCGCTAGAAAAGTTGCAAGGGTCGCCTAATAAGGAAGGCGGTGAACTCCCCACCCACTGAAAAGAGCAAGACTTCAGCGTCTTCAATGCCTTATCGATAACGGACCAATGATTGAATTGTGCCCGCCAACTGCTCGAAAAGTTCGAGATCCTCACGTCAACGAGGTCTCGAGACTGCCATTGCGCACTTCAGCCATTGAGGATGGCGGGTCGACCGCTTTTATTCGAGTTACGATGCCGGAATGAGACAATATGTCGTTCATGTCGATTAGCGATCCGACACCGGCCACAGCAGCCATGGATATCAGCAGCTGCATACAGTTCGAAAGCTACGGCGCAACGACCGGCTAATGACGCCGTATCCCGAAAACCGAGCAGATTCGAGCTGAAGCAATATCTCGATCGTATCAAGGCGCTTCGAAATCCAAACAAGGGCACAGACGAGATGTTCAGCGTTCGATTCTTCGACCAGGAGGGCAATAAGAGAACAGAGCTGCCCAGTGAGGAAGCTTTTGGCGCATCACTACACGAGGTCGATACTTCAGGGCTCAAAGATGCCTTGATAGAGATCAAGAATGAAATGGGTGGGCAGGATGAAAAGGCAGCCTTCCAAGAGGTTGTCGATCAACTGGGCCATGACTGGGACAAGATGAAGACGGCCGACGACCTGGAGAGGATTATTGCCAAGCTAGACGCCTACACGGCGGCAATCGATGAAGAGATTGACAAGACCGGCGCAGACCTTCCGAAGGAGATACTGGAAGAGCTGGACTTGGAGCTACCAGGGCTGCCCGAGATGGGAACCCTTGGTTCTCGAATAGCCCTACCTCAGGTCCCAGAGAAGCCGTGGACAATCAATCAACGGAAAAAGGTCGCTCGCCTCAACACTACGCTAGCTCGTACAGCGAGGGACATGCGCCGAGGGACGAAGCTCACCACCAAGGCTGTGCAGGTGTTGTTCAAGGCCTACCATGCTGCACGGCTTTCCCTGGCCCATGGCTGGAGTCACGTTCCCCTTGAAGTCTGGGATCTGCTTTGGAAGGTCTTTTCAGTGGAAGAATCTGTCAACATCCATCGGTTGTCACATCTTGCTCTCTTGTCGCGAGACATGAGCGAGGCCAAGGTCACGCTGAACCCTGCACAGCAGCTATTGACCATCGAGGCCGTATTCGTCGATGGATGGGAGACAAAGGCCATCGAGAACTGGAAGCGATGCATCAGCTCTCTAGGTGACGAGAACGCCGTGACGTTCCAAGAGTTCTGGGAGCTGGGCGTGAGGATGTTCTGTCGCGTTGGCGATCTGGACCAGGCGCAGCGAGCCGTCAACAAGCTCATTGAGAAGCAAAAGGATGCCCGCATCCTGATGCCTCTAATCCGGACATGGTCGGAGCTTGGTACGGAGGAGGGCCAGGAAAAGGCATGGTTGGCGTACCGGCAGCTCCGCGAGCTCCTAGGACATGACATGAAGCTCACCGACTACGACCAAGTGATATCCTACTTCCTAACCACCAACCAGACCGAAAACGCCCTCTACGCATTCGTCGACATGATGAGCGACGGCAAGATCGACCTGAAGAAGCAAAAGTACATGCCTTCGGTCGTGGCCAACAAGTTCTTCTTTGGCAAGTGGCTCAAGAGACTCATCGGAGCAGGTGATCTCTCGGGTGCGCAGAGCGTCGTCGAGTTTATGAGGAAGAGGGGCATCGAGGCATCGCCCATTCAGCTGAACGGCCTCATCGGTGCTTGGCAGCGGTCAGGAGGTGCTGAGGATCTGGATAAGGCGGACCAGATGGCTTGGGGCATGATTGACTCGCGAATTGACTTTGTCAAGGCTCGGGGAAGTGGTGGTTCCTCCAAGGACAAAGCAGAAGAGGCTGCTGGCATGAACCCATTCCCTCGAGCCACGCTAGAGACGTTCTCCCTCTTGGCAGAGAACTATCGTCTTCGCGACCTCCACGAGCGTCTCCTGACGCTATGGGAAGCCTTCCGAGAGGCCGAGATGAAGGCTGACTCGTTCGTCATCAACCAGCTCCTCGAGTCGTATATCCAGGCGGGCCAGTCCAAGGAGGCGCTCGAGCTGTACGAGACACTCGTAACAGAAAAGGGCGTCGAGCCTGATCCGTATACATTTAGCGCGCTCTGGAAGACACTCGCCGTCAACCGACTTCATATGCCCTCAGCTGGGCATATCCCCGGCATGGTCTCATCGACGAGAGACCTCTTTGCTGAGACGGCCAAGTTCCGGCATGTTTTTGCGGCTGACGGCGGTATGGATGGACAGCTCGCTCGCAAGATCCTCCACACATTCCGACGAGTCGGCGACAACGCTGGGCTCGTCGTCGCACTTGCCGCCCTCCGCGATATCTTCAACTTCTTACCACCCGAGACGCTTGTCCTTGAGATGGTCATGGGCACCACGAAGCTAGCATGGGAGACACCAACACATCGTCGTCGCCTCGTACACGCCAAGCGGAACCTCGACCGCGCCATGCTTGACTGGGCTGAGGGAGACGAGTCAAGGCTTCAGGGCGATCGCCGTGGCGAGGCCCTCTTTGAGTATCTGCAGAAGCAGTACTGGCCCGAGGAGAACGAACAGGGAAAGGCGTTTAGGGAGGCAGCGAAAGAGATGGGAGTGTACGATATGATGAAAAAGGGGGCAAAGGGAAGCGGTAAATAAAAAAAAGGAGGGCATGTATCGGCGCTTGGGGGAAAATCATATGACATCTCTCCAATTCAAATAGAGCGATGAGGTCGTCGCATGTTGCATACTATCACTACGCATAATGCGCTCATGAGAAGCGTTTGGAAATGAATTCAAGATGGATGATGCAAACAGCTCAACTCGAGTGAGATGTCAATATTAGTTCAAGATGTATATATCTACAAGCCCATCTCAAAAGACTTTTAAAAGCAACCTAGAAAAACAGAGACACAAAGAGGTCTTGTCTTTTGGACCCTGATTCCCATTCCACTATCCGTCCTCTCCGAAAACTCCATCGCTATGCAAAAAAACACAAACCGTCCATCTTCTTATGACAAGTCCATCTCGTGATCCAGCCTGTCTCCCACAGAGCTCAACCCCGACTCGTCATCGCTGGCGTGTCCGTTTTGCTGAGCCTTTTGCTGGTTAAGCTGTGGTTGCTGCTGCTGTTCAGGCTCGGGACTGAGTGAGGCGGATGCTCTGCGTTTGGAGATCCATTCCGAGATGCTCGTTTCTGGTCCTCCTTCGACTTGTACTTCTCCTGCGTCGTGACCCCTGCCTAGAATCGTTCCGTGGTATTTGGCGTCTTCGCCCGTCTTGCTGTGCTTCTTCTTAAGAGCTACACCACGAACATTAGCACGTCGTCCGTAGAAACCCCAATGCAGCTAAACTCACCATTGAGATAATCAGTCGCATCCATCTCTCCGTCACCGCTGCCAACATCCATCATCTCCTTCATGCGCTGTCCCGCAAACCAAGCGATAAACTCTTCAAGGCCGCGCAGGTCCTCCTTGTCGTGGAACAGCTCCTCGGCGGGTAGTCGCTCAGGCATGAGGGCGCCCGCGTCCTGCAGGGCCATGCGGATGTCGACGATAGTAAAATCTGCGCTGTCGCCTTGGTTGTGCGCCGCGTGGTCGGCTGTGCTCTGGCAGAGCAGGGAGAGGTATCGGGCGGCGAGGTCCGTCAGTGAGTCGAGCACTGCCGGGCGCGTCGAGTGGTAGCCCGTCGAGCGGAGGATCTGAAGGATAGAAGGGCGGAGGAGCGCGTGGAAGAGAGAAGGAGGCGTCGTCATGATTAAGGATGTTCGTCTTGAGCGGTAATTGTAATTCGTCGCGAGGAAGCAAAAGGAAAAAGCTTGAGTGGTGGTGCTCTACTCGTCGTCGCCTCGTTTTCGCCGTGTCTGAGTCTGAGTCTGCGCCTTCATCGGGTTCAAATCTGGAGTCTCGCAGCAGCAGCGCATGTCCGAGCTCCAAGCGCTGTGGGATCGCTCCTGCTCTAGCGATTGTGAAGCTATTCGCGGTGAAGCTTCTTGTTGATGTTGGTGTCGCACGTGCTTGAGCTTGGGGAGAGAAGAGCTTCCATCTCATGGATCCCAACGAGGTTCAGCCTGGCTCAGCCTAGCTAGGGAAAAAGTGGGGACCCTCACCTGAGAAATGTGCTGTTATTGAAGGAACAGTTTTGGTGACATTGATGCAGGTATTGTAGTTAGGTATTCAAACAAACAACCTCCTATTATGCAACCTCGTTCAATTTCAATCTCAATCATTTTTCATCTTACAATCACGCGACCGGGCAACTCCTACAAAGTCTTACATGGTCAACTTGCCCGTCTCCTTCTCCAGCTTGGACTCATCCGCAACACCACTGTACTTGTTGATCCAATCCAACACCTCTCTATGCCAAACCAACGAGTTTTCGGGCTTTAGCACCCACTGCACGAGAATCAGCAACTAAAATCAAACTTCTCTATCATATAGATACTTACGTGGTTCTCATCGGGAAACATGACAAACTTGCTGGGAATACCTCGCGCCTGGAGCACGTTGAACATGGCCAGTCCCTCCGAGATGGGAAGACGATAGTCGAGTTCGTTATGGATCACCTATCATAGAGTGAGTATATTCAAGAAACTATGAGGGAAATACTCACCAGCATGGGAGTCGCCCATTCTCCAGTGTGCAGAGAAGGATCCCACTTTGCATATCCAGCTCGGTTCTCCCAGAGCGTTCCACCAAAGTCATGCTCAGGGAAGAACAGCTCCTCAGTAGACCACTGGTTCTGCGTAGAAAATACACCATCGTGGCATACCAGGGCCTTGAACTTGCGTCCGAGGTCGTGGCCCTGCACCCAGTCTGAATTTGTGTTAGCACTTCAACATCTCCATGGACACTACAACTCACTGATCATGTATCCGCCGTATGACGCTCCAAGAGCAACAGCTCGGTCCGTGTCGACATAGCCCATCTGGTTTTCGATATACTCGAAACACTTGACGAGGTCATCGTATGGAGCACCTCCCCAGTGGTTGGCAATAGCATCAATGTGGGCTTGTCCGTAGCCTGTGCTGCCTGTCGGGTTGGGGCACACCACCACGTATCCCTGCTCAGCAAAGATGGCCGGGTTCCAGCGAGTGCTCCAGTCATCAGTCCAGGCCGACTGTGGTCCTCCGTGGATCAAAAAGGCCAGAGGATACTTCTTGGATGAATCAAAGCTCGACGGCAGCATGACCAAGGCGTGATTGTTGTAGCCAGTCGATCCAGGATACCAGATCTCGGTACACTGGGACTTGGACAGGCCAAAAGACTTTCCGTTCTTAGAGCTAGCCGAAACCACCTTGACCGACTTGGTGTCTGGGTCAAGTACACCGTAGCTTGAGCTCTCAATCCGAGACTTGGATGTGATGAGGAGAGAATCTCCATCTCCCAAAAGATGGGCCTCGACAACAGATCCATCCTCGTGGATAGGCTCTGGGAGCTCCCGAGCCTTGAGGGGATCAGAAGGTAGCTTCCAAAGCACCATTCTTCCGTGCTTCTCGGCGGCGACATACAGCACCTTGTCGTCTTTCCTCCAGACTGCCCAGTCTGGTCTGAGATCCCAGCCACCCTCGTCATCATCCGTCTGGTAGAACTCTTGCACGTTGCTCAGGTCAGTGACATCAGGGATCACCAACAGCCTCGTTTTATCAGACTCGTACTGCTGGTGCCTCATTCTGGCAAATACAAGCTTCTTGCCATCGTTGGAAAAGGAGGGGGCCACGCTGTAGCCCCGTAGAGTCCCAGTGTGAACGACTTGAGGAACGGGAGGCTTCTCAAGCCAAGACTTAAGAGGCACATAGTAGAGATCAGTCTTTGTGTTCCTCGCGGGGTTCAGCTCGGGGTCCTTAGACACAAAAGCAATGCCCGAGGCCGAGATATCAAAGTCACCAGCGCCACCAAAAGGAGGCACGGGACAGCTTAGGCTGGTGCCGGCCAGGAGGTTGGTAAGGCCGGACTGCTCGAGAGCCCATTTGCTGTCCTTCTTGGACAGTACACCATACCAGAGAGAGTTCTGATTCTCACTGTTCCAGGCATCCCAGTGACGGACAAAGAGGCCGGTGTAGATCTTGGCCGAGGTGTACGTCTTAGTCTCAGCCGCAGGCCAGTACATGTCTCCCCGGGGTGTAGTCAAGGCGGAGCAACAGAACGCAACCTCATGATGAGAGATGGGCTTGGCCTTTGGGTTTGCGATGCTACCAGCAAAACAATGGATCATGTGTGGGCTTGAAGTGGTGTTAGTCTGGTTTACTACAATAGTTTGGTGGAGAGATCCTTACGGCGACTTGTCAAAGACGTGCTGAGAGTACAGCATAGAGCACCCATTGTCACTAGTCTTGATAAAGGCAATCTCATGCTTGCCAATCCAGATGGGGTCGCTGGCAGCCGTGTCCTCAGAGATGAGGTGAGAAGAGCCATCATTGATGCTAAGAACGCGAATCTGAGAAGACTTGGCGTGCTTGTCGAACGAGTAGGACGAGACCTGGACGCGTCAGCAAAAAGAGCGACTGCGGAACGGCGGAATTGAAGCCATCGTCAAGGCTAACGCACCGTATAGAGCACCAGCTCGCCGGTGGAGTTGGGGACGCCGGTGGAGCGGCGCGGGGCCGACAGCAGCACCTCGGGGGTGAACCGGGTGGCCTGTCTCGTCATCATGGAGAACTATTGAGAGAGAGGAGGTGATGAGATGGTTATGGGGAGATGGAGCATACAACTGAAGTGTATGCAAGAAAGAAAGAAGAATACGAGGCTGAGTGATGAGAGATGTTGTTGGAACTGTGCCCCGTTGAAACATCCATCATAGGTAGGTAAGAGGTACCTTGCCCCCTCTCTTACCTTACCTACCGTGCCTACTCCTCATCACCACCGCCCGCTCGGCCCCTCTCTTCCGTCCATACCAGCATTTGCCCGGTAACGTGAGATCTCGTGTTTTGTTTCAGCATCAACCGGTCACTTTGGTATTGTTTACTTTTACAGATATTCCTCATTATTCTTATCTGTACCTCTAATTATCCTCAGGTGCCTACGAGGTAATATTATTATATCTTTCTCTCCTTCTCCAAGACCCCGCATTGCATCCGGCAGCCTCTCGACGATTTGGCCTGTAACCAGCAAGGTTCAAGCTCTGGGGAGCGGGGTGGCGTTACCACTGCTATCATGATACGCGTTCACGCGGGCAAAGAAATAAATAAGACGACAGAGCATTTAGATTAGTCCTCATAAATATAGTTAAGTAATTTATAAAAGATATTATAAAATAATATGATAATTAGGCGATTTTTATATATATTTATTATAATTTATTGATTATATTTAGAGGGGGATTTAGTAATAGATTCGTCCTTATGTCTCGTTTTTTCCTTGATCCGGGTGGCGTTGCTTCTAGAACTAGGTCCCTCTCCCCCAGTTTGGAGCTCGTTAGCTCCATCTCTAGCTCTCGATAACCCTGTTGCCAGGTGGTTGGTACCACGTCGGTTCCATTCCCAACCTCCAAGGGAGCACGGGATAGCCTCAAAGCATCAAGCATTCTCTTGATAAAGTAGGCCTCGGTAACTTCACTCTGACCGCCTCCAGTAGACTCAATTGCCCATCATGTCCCTGCTAGTGCCATCACGGCTTCAGGTTCGCGTCAATCAAATCTCTCTGTTGCGAATTACCCTCTTCAGTTCCAGTAAACAATGCACATCTGATGCCAGGGTTACACTCTTTCAGAGCATTAGAAGGACGAATAAGTGTCGCGTGACACTATCCATAAGAGGCAGCTCGTTCAAAGGCCTCTGTTGGACATCTAGCTACCAAACAACTACCCTCCCAAACGCCGCTTCAAAGCCGTAATTCTAATTCAAGTCCAAAACGCCAGGCCCAGTCCATTCTTACAAACACATTTCCATTGATGCTTTACCTCCGTTGGGCTCCAAAGTTTGTTCGCTTCTTGCTCGCTGCCGTGTCGTTCTCGCTATCCTCGTGGTCCACCGTCTTCTTCTTCGACTTGTTCGCGTTCTTACCAGCAGTTGCCGATGTCGGCGTCGGGTGGTTCGAGGCTCCGTCTCGGAACGCGGCTGACGAGGGTGTCACGCCTGAAGCTGGCGTTGAACCTCCTGATCCAGGAGCGATGCCTTCCAGGTTGTTCGGTCGGTACGAGATGGATGATCTTGAAAACACTCGGTTCTGCTCCATAGTTCCAGCCTTGCGTCGCTGTGCTGCCGCGCCACTGGTTCCCTTCATGTAGTTGTCGAAGCCCGTGATGATGTTGCCGCTCGGTGTGCTGTCGAGGTAGGCAGTCTCCTTCTGAGCGATGCCGTCTTCAACCTGCGTCTATCAGAGAGTCAAAACAAGCACTTTTCGCAGCCATCTGCGATTTGAACTCACCAAGCGCCTCTCAAGAAGCCTGCGCTTCTCAACAAGATCCCGCACGCGGGCTTGCGCCTTCTTGTACTCGGACATGGTCACCTGCCCGGCCCCCGATCCAACAGCGTTTCCAGCCTTCCTTTCTGCCATCCACTCAATCTATAAGATGGTCTCAAATCGTTCGGATCGGTATCGCAACGCGCTGGTGAAATGCGACAAAGGTCGAAGTCGTGTTCAGCAAAGGAAATCAAGTTAGGCTGCCTCCGGTTGAAATCGCGGGGCGCGGCTAGAGGCGCTTAACTTCCGCGTCATGCGCGTCAAATGTAAAGTGGATCTTCGCGCTTATGTTTGAACCACAGGCGCAAAGCCCAAACACCATCACCAAAAAGACATGGAGGCATCTCAACCATCCCATTCTTCCTCCAAGCACCAAAAAGATAAATTCATGTGTTACACATGGGGCGTACTCTCCCGCCGGGAATTGAACCCGGGTCTCAAGCGCGTTGTATATGACAAGCTTGCATACTGACCACTATACTACGGAAGATGATGGTTGTGAGCAACCATTGTAGCGAGTTCGGTGTCACGTGGACTTCGGAATGGTGTCTATAACCTCTCCAACAGACCTGGAGATGCTGCCATCGTGAAAGGCAAACAACCATCTCCTCCAGTCAGTGATTATCACAACGTTCCAAAATCATGTTCTTTTATTTATTACTCTAGATAAACCCCATTCTGCTTTTGACCCAATTCCCCCTTTTCACGCCCCAACCCCAAACACTATATATACCTAGCCACGAGCAATCGGTGTGAAGGATGCCACTGCGCAGCACTTGCGTTGTTGTTAGCTTCGATCCCTGAAGAGACGCTCTCGGATGGTTCTCATCTTTCCTGCCATAGGCATGGATTCATGGATGGCTGTAGTTGGCCAAGACTCTACCGCTGGTTATCGACAAGAATCAGCACCTTGCCCCCCAACATTTTCATGCCCAGACTAACCTCTCGTCAAGTAGATGTCGCGGGCTCTGCCTCGGGCTTGGTTGGTGGGGCACGAGATTCATCTTCGGAAACATCAGCTAACTTGTCTCTGGTCCTTGAGCGTGAAGAAGCTGAAGAACTATTGCGTCGTCGACCGCTGGGCGATTCCCGTCTCTTTGCTTGACGTTGGCCACGTCGCCCAGGGCTGGGTTGCCTTTGCCGGCGTCGGTCGTCCTCCCTGTCTGAAGAGTCGTCTCTTCGGCCCTTGCCTTTTGACCTTCGGTCGTGTGCCGCACTGCTGGAACGGCTGCGGCTGCGACTGTCACTGGGACTGCGACCTCGGCCCCGACTTCGGCTACGAGACAAAGAAGTACCCCTGGACCTTGAAGAAGACGCGGATCTTGAACGACGTCTCCGGCGATCTACCGATCGGCTTCTTGAAGAAGAGTATCGTCTTCGCTTTGGCGAAGGAGAACGTCGCTCAGAAGATACAGAGCGAGATGCAGCAGCTCTACGCCCTCCATCATTTCGACGGTTTGCTCGACCTCGGTAGGTATCGCCTCCGGGTGATCGTGATCTCTTTCGCCCGTCTCTGCGTCTTCCGGGTGATGAGGGTCGTCGCCGGCTGTCAGATTTGTTGGTACTGCGCGACGCACTACGGCCGCGCGAGTTCGATCGAGATGAGCCAGATGCTGAAGGCGATCGAGCAGGAGACCTTCGCCGACCAGGTCCAGCTCTACCGCCGCCGCGCCTCCCACGAGGGACGTAACTGTCGCGACCGTAGGAGTCCCTCGAGTCACGGAAGCGGGGACCCGGAGATCGAGACCTCCCACCTCCTCTCCTGAAGCCTCCTCTTCCTCGATTATCGAATTCGCGGTCGCCTCGTCGCCCTTGCCAGGTATCACCACGAGCCGATGCTCGATCTCGACGATCGCGATCTTTGAGGTCGGCTACTTCGCGATCACGGCGATCCCAGTCATCTCGCCTCTTCTTGGCGCTCTCTGCGGCACGATCGGCTTCAATCTGTAGAAGATTTGGTTTAGATTGGAGATACGCAGGTGGCTGCTGTCTCAACGTACCTTTTCCTGGATGAGCTCCAGCTTTTTAGCTTCGAGGAGCTCCTTAGGCACGCCTTGAGGACTGGCCTGGGCGCTCAACAGTAATTTCCATAGGTCTTTGCAGAAAGACGCTGTATCTTTATCGAGGAAGCCCGTGAGTTGGATCTGGAGTGACTTGATGTCTGGCTATCGGCGAAACCATCAGCATGTGTTCAAGGAAGGTCAGGAGAGGTTAGCCGTACGTATCGCGGGCCTTCGATCAGATTAAAGCAAAGCTCAATCACCACGTCGTCTTCGTTCCCAAGGATATCGGATATCTTGCCCGCGATCCATCTAGCCAGACACGTTAGCACGGGGATCAGAAGCGCGATGGACCCAGGAGCACTCACTTCTTCATGACCTGGAGATTGACCTTTTGCATATCAACCTTCTGGCTAAACTCGGGCGGGAACTTGGTCGACTTCAAAAGCCGCGCATCCACTCCGGTAGCCATGTTGGGTCGAATCGCAATGTCAATTTCTGTGTCGAAAGGGGGCGCGTTGTTGGGAAAAAAGCTGCTGCTGGGATGAAAAAGTGACGTCGCTGAGCACAGGCTCGAGTCCACGAGACAAGCAGCGGAGGCAGCGCCGTGGTCGGGTGGTGCACGGACCACCTTTGTTCACTTTCACAGCAGGAGCTCCCTGAGCAGCTGAGCTTCAAACGAAGGGCCTGCCCCGCAGGCTTTCTAGGGGAGCTTGCGCTGTGCAACCACTGAAGCCTCAGCAAAGGCGCGTCACCAATCGCAGCCTGGGATGAAATCCGTTTCTTATTCAACATCCATCTCGTTTGTCGCTGATTGTCTGTCCGAGTCAAGGACTATCTCAAGATGAATACTCTACACGCCCCGACCGTGCCCTCTGGGGAAACCAGCGCTTCTATTACCAACGGCGATGCGGGGCATCTGAGCTTCGCTGAGTTGGAGCGAAAGAAGGATGATATTGAGGCCGAACTCAAGGCGCTCGGCGGAGTGCTTGACTCGGTACCTATGTTCAACACTTGAGCCTGCGGTATCATGTGCTAACAAGAAACTCAGCATGGAGTGGACATGAACACACCTCTCTTGACCAGAGATGGATTCCCTCGTGCAGACCTTGATGTTGCACAGAGTATGGCTTCCAAGTCATGCTTAGCATCTCCCAACTAATCGTTCCATAGTTCGAACCACAAGGGCCAGAATAATCCGTTTGAGGAACGACTACACGGCTCTCATGACCCGGATCGAAAAGTTCCTGCATGAGCATTTCGCCAGCCTTGATGAAAACGATGCCGAGCCAGCTCCGAGCTCTGGCACCCAACCCATTTTGCCAGACTCTTATTCCGCACCCTTGGATCCTCCGTTCGCCAAAGTCAATACCGTCGCCGCGGGAAGTCCAGCAGAGAGCGCAGGTCTTAAGCCAGGTGACGAGATTCGAAACTTTGGCTACGTTAATCGGGCCAATCATGACAACCTCAAGAAGGTAGCAGAGTGTGTACAAGGGAATGAAGGAGTGAGTGGTCATGATGCCGTAGCAACCCGAGCATGCCAGCTAATCTTGCGTCAGAGCAACATTTTTATCAAGGTATCCCGCTTGACAGGCGTGGCAGAGCAACAAGAGCTACGCTTGACTCTCACCCCGAGAAAGGATTGGGGTGGTCGAGGAATGTTGGGCTGTCATATCTTGCCTCTGTAGGCATGAGCAGGCAATGTACGCAAGGACAGGCCAAGGCGTATCCAAGGAAATTTGCAAGGCGAAATATGACCTTGAAGATTTGCTCACATAATGTACGATAAGGTATCATGACAGCAACAATGCAAAAGGAAGTCCATCCATGAGCATCATTTGACCCAACATTGGGAGCCTAATGTGTTGTCTACTTTGACTTTGATGTCCCAGTGATTTGATGCCAAGTCAACAGCCAATCTAGGTGCCTTACATAAGGTATCGCATCGCGGCGCGGCGCAGTTCATGATTACAAAGCACTTGGGACTTTAGACATTAACGGAGAGGTTAAGGGATGCTTAGCATTCGCATCATAATGCCAATATTAATGTGTTAAACATGACAAACATAAACAAGGTAGCTAAGGACAAGTAGCAATCGATCAAGTAACGTGCAGTTTATCAAATGTTCGAACGTTTGCACTCAACAAAGAGTACTCACATAACAATCTAATTATGTGCTAAATAAGAGATAAAACTAAGTAATAGTATCATAAATCTTTGAGTGTTTTATGTATTATATTTAGGGACCTTTATTTGCCTTAGAAAATAGAGATCATTGACTCAGTATGTTGTGTTTTTCTGCGAACGCGTGCAAGCGTAGATCGACGGATTAAAGAATCTGATTTTATCTTCCTGTTGATCACAGGAGTGGAACCCATGTAAGCAGAGAAGAGTGAGCTCGCTGGCAAGGAGGACGCTCTTGTTTCCGATAAGGTGATGATTGCGGCCGAGCACGAGATCTTCGAATCAGACTCTCGAGATTGCCTCTACCATTGCTACCTAAAGGCTGCCTGGACCCTTACTGGGAAAGGGCTGACTAAACACATGCAAGCAAGTCAACATGGCAGTGTCCCGAGAGCAGGCCGCCGCTGGACCGATCTACGATGACAAAAGGAAAGACGAGCTGGGTAAAGCTGCCGATAGACCGCTTGAAATGTCACCTTACATGGATGGATTTCTTTGTTGGGAGCGAGCAAGGCCTGGGCAGCCCAACTCAGGGCAGCAGGTACCCAGGTACTGTAGCCAAACCCAAGGCACCAGCAGGCAGCCCGGCGCACCGCCCGCGGAGCAAGCCGCAGCGAACAGGAGAAGGCGCGCGACCGAGTCAACTCGGCGGTGCCCAATGGCAAGAGTGGAATGTTCCAGGCGGTGACGGCGATAGCAGGCCATGGTGACGCTGAATCGCTGGCAGTGAGTGGGCAGCCTTTTCCGCCGTCATGGATCCGTGCTGCAATATCACGTGCAGGCAGCCCACCCTGGGGCGACTGAATTTTTCGCTTTGAGGCCCTTCCCCTGCCCAAAGAGTTCCCCGCCGCCTTCAAAACATCAGGTTGACCAGCTCTCTTTGAAAGTTCGTCAATCAACCTCGTACCCACCCCCAGCGACGCTCTCCAGGTATTTAGAGTCCCCATCTCCTCGCTTCCCTTGGACTCTCTTCCAGTTCATCACCTCGAACGACACTCTCTTGCGCCGTGCCGCCCGCTTTGCACCCAGCTAACTCCCGCATCATCGCAGCACCCCGCTTGTTTACATCCTCTCCTACCTGTCGCTACAACACCACAGGCCCGACCATCAAGATGGCTGAGCAGCAGACCCCCACCTTCAAGCTCGTGCTTGTCGGCGATGGTGGTACCGGAAAGGTGTGTAGGATTCCATGACGCAGCGCCTCTTTCGCGATATCGTCGACGGTCGCCGAGCTTTCCCCTCCGCCCTAGTCGAATCCCGAGAGACGTGGAGCGATCCCTTGCAACCCATGCCATCAACAGCGACTAACCATACCTTCTGACGATAGACCACCTTCGTCAAGCGCCACTTGACTGGTGAATTCGAGAAGAAGTACATGGCCACCCTCGGTGTCGAGGTTCACCCTCTGGGCTTCACCACCGTAAGTCTTTGCTTGAACCCCACGTTGGACCTGTGCGGGGCGCTAACCCATGTACCAGAACTTCGGCCAGATCCAGTTCGACGTTTGGGATACCGCCGGTCAGGAGAAGTTCGGTGGTCTCCGTGACGGTTACTACATCAACGGCCAGTGCGGTATCATCATGTTCGATGTCACCTCCCGCATTACCTACAAGAACGTCCCCAACTGGCACCGTAAGTCGACCCTGTCCGCACTATCAAGGGCCTCGCTAACGATTTCATGATAGGCGATCTCGTCCGTGTCTGTGAGAACATCCCCATCGTTCTCTGCGGTAACAAGGTCGATGTGAAGGAGCGAAAGGTCAAGGCCAAGACCATCACCTTCCACCGAAAGAAGAACCTCCAGTACTACGACATTTCCGCCAAGTCCAACTACAACTTCGAGAAGCCCTTCCTCTGGCTCGCTCGCAAGCTTGTCGGCAACCCTCAGCTTGTAAGTCCTTTTGCTTTTTTTCTTGCTCACGTGGTGTGGAGCTCAGATACTAATCAAGTTTGCAGGAGTTCGTTGCTGCTCCCGCCCTTGCTCCCCCCACTGCTCAGGTCGACGAGAAGCTCCTGGAGGAGTACCGCAAGGAGATGGACGAGGCCGCCGCCATGCCTCTGCCTGGCGAGCTTTCCGACGATGATCTGTAAATGACTCGTGCGGTCACGGGATACTTTGTTGAGGAGGATGCTGCCGGGTGCCAAAGGAACGGCACGCGGGCAGTGTTTGAGGATGGCACATTGGCAGCCGGAATGACCATTTATGAGGAACGGGGCGAAAGTCCTGGAGTTTACAGCAGCGTGATTATGGGGCGGCACAAAAGATTGGCCGCTATGCCTCTCTTTGATGAGGCAGAAGGGACAGTGCCACTGCAGAGAGCAGTGTCCTATTTAGTTTAGCTAGACTTCCTTCAAAACAGCACCCAGGGCCAAGTTTGCGTGGCTTGGCTAAGACAAAGACCATTGAGCATTTAAGAGGCTTGGTACTTAAGTGATGAGTGAGACCTGGTTGTCCGGGGCAAAGTGAGTAGGTGTTTCACCGAGGGCAGTCTCGAGGCTTTCTATCCCTTGAGCAATTTGGAAGGATTGCTGGCAGTTGGGCTCTAGATCGGGCCACTGTTTGATCAGGGTGATGTTTAATGCACCGAAGAGGACTGTCCTGCAGCTCTGTGCAGATATACATGGACCAGAGCTTGTGAGGGCGGAGCTTGATGCAGACCTGGTGTCACCAACGGACCAGGCGGTCTGCATCTTGTGGATGATTGGACAATGAATGCCTAAACAAGACTTGCGTTTCGAGAAGCATGAAAACATGTCCGAGCTTGTTGTTCAATGTTGACCTAATATATCGTCTGCAGATATTCATTGTTGATTGATGGGACTGGAAGAAAACTCGATAGCCCATCTGTGGTATCTACCCTACGGCAAACAATATCCAGCTTCACAACTTGGCACCAGACGCCAGGCAATGCAATGGATGCTTCTCTGCATTCGATGCAGCCACACTGACGTGATTGCGTTATTCATAACGGCAACGTTGAGTGGTGGCTCGGGGATCGCCGTTGAGGGTGTTCCGAAAACATCCTCAGCTCTTGTTATTTACTTTTTGATGCAGCAGGCAGAGCTGAGACGCGCCTAGAGTGCCCCATCAAAACAGAGTCAGGGTGGGTGGCTATACGGCGCTGTCATGAGATGGGCGGCGACTTTGAGGCAGATAGTAGCACCTTCATCTTGTCGTCTCAAACATGGCAAATACATTCTGGAACGCGACTTGTAAAAGAATTAGATGGCCAGGACCGACGAGGCAGGGATCCGTGTTGATGGAAGAATGAATTCGAGATTAGCCTTGGCGCCGTGATTTAGTTAAATGGATGGGATCCATGGATGGGATGGCGCGCAGCAGCACCCCTGGAGACGGCGTATGCAGCCACTTAATGAAGCAGGGGTGTCAATGAACACGGCCATGAGATGGCCCCCGGGATCATTAAAGCCGTTCACTGACGCGTGGGGCAAAGATGGGGAGCAAAGCAAGGACGGATGGATCAATCATGGATGATGGGAATGGGTGTGATTTAAACAGACCCAGATGAGTGGACTGCATGGCGGTTGTCATTGTTTTTTATTGCTGTCAACAAGATTGGACATGTGGGATGGACTGAGATGCAAGTAATGATCACCTGCAACGAGTTGAATGATCCTTTGGCGCCGTGTCCTTTTCAGCTCAAAGAGGGGAATGACTCGGACGAGAAGAAGAATGAGGAGGGCTCTCCGATGGGATGTACAGACAGCACACCAGTGGATTCAAGATGGATGTGGACAACAAGCGTGTATACGACTTTTAATGGATCATCTCAGCAAAATAGAGTTATGTCTCAATGTGTGCACGCGTTGTTGGTGGAAAAGCGCGTCTTTTTATGGTCGTTGCGGGGGAGATGCATCTGAAAAACATCCATTTGTGATGATTTGATGTACTTTGTATGGGGACGAGTCAGCTCCTCTCGTATCTACCTCAAAACAAGCCAATGCACAACAAACAACAAGAGGAAAAAACAATACGAGGCGCGACACACAAGACTCCTCGGTACACAAGCCCACATATATATACATCATTCATCGCGTCTCTTCAAAAAGACGGTCAAACATCTTGTTTAGTAAACTGAAATGGCGGGAAAGACTAGACGATTCGTAAAGAAAAGAGCCGAGCAGAAAATGTCGAAGGCTGGGAGGTTGGGACGAGAACCTTTGTTGTTCTGTTTTTTTCTCTCAGCGAATACTTTCAGCGGCCAACCCACTGAAGCTGCAGCGATAAATACAAGAGGTGACAGGGGGGCACGTGCAACGCGTGTTTACAGGGTTGCCCGATTGGGATACAGTAGCGCCAGGCGCGTGGCGGGATTGGTCAGAAACAGGGCTAGGGAAAAAAACGCGGAGCAGAGAAGCGCCCAAGACAGAGGGACCCAGGTGCTTTTTTCCTGGAGGGGGAGGGGGGTAGGGGAGGGGGAGCCACAGGGAGCCTGGAGCCACACAAGGGCCTTGGAAAAAAGGGAAGGGACGATGGGATGGGCTGGGGCCGCCTCGTTTTGAAGCATGCCCATTTGACATTCCTCCTCTCCGCGGTTCCACGTCCACGCCTCACGTACGTCCCACGCCCACACGTCGCTCCAGCCCAGCTGCACGCACCAACGACTTGACTTGACGACAACCTCTTCTCTATTCTTTCTCTTTTCCCTTCCTTTCCCTTTTCATTCTTCCTCCCATTCTTCATTACTCAAACCCACCTTCCATCTCTACGCCCGCATCTGCCTCGCGCTCGCTCACCTCACCTCGCCACGACATCATCCTCCCATCCATCAATCTCGAATCGCCTCCTCTTTGACCGCCCTCCTAGGGATGCATATTCCTCTCCAATAAGGCCATTTCCATCACCCTCTTCCCGCCCGCGATCATGGCCACTTCCGCAAACTCCCCCTTCGTCGCCGCCACGCCCGACAAGCACGCTGTTTCGGCTCCCAACCACCATGAGCCCGTCGTCACGCCCCAGAGCCTCCCCCCTCTGGTCGATGCAGCAGTACCCCGGCCTGCACCAGAGACTGAGAAGCATCCCAAGGGAAAGCGAAAACGTACTGCGTATGTCGACGATGCCCGCCAAGCCACAGCCGTTTCTGCGGCCACCCTCCTCGACGTTGGACTGAGCTAATTTTGCATCAATCGCATGCAGGGCCAAAGACAAAATGATTCTCGAAGAGGCATACAGCAACAACCCCAAGCCCGACAAGCAGGCGCGTCTGGAGATCGTCCAGCGCGTGTCATTAAATGAGAAAGAAGTTCAGGTATGGCGGACCCTCCGATCGTCCCTCCTTGATGGCTCCAATGGCAATGCCTGCATTTCGTGTCCACACTCACCACGCGTCATTCAATGGTCTTTAGAACACCCAACTGACATGATCCCTTCTAGATCTGGTTCCAGAACCGAAGACAAAATGATAGAAGGAAATCTCGCCCTCTCTCTCCTCAAGAAGTTGCTGCCCTTCGATATGGGGCCATGCACGTCATCTCCTCCGACCCAATCACGAACACTACCCCGAGTAAACCTGAAAAGACCTTCCCAGCATCCGACCCCGCCAGTTCTCGAGTCACGGATCCCATCTCAGCCTCTCCCCGAACTCTCACCCAGACTCCTTCCATGCCGCGCTCCCACTCAGACCTTGTGAATAGCACTCCCATCTCTAACCGCCACGAGAGCACCCCTCGGCTCCCCGACATCACCCCAAGCCGCATTGACCCTGCCCTCTCTCACGAATCCCATGATGGTTCCCTGTCCAGTTCCATGTCCAGTTCCCAAATCGGATATCTCTCCAACCGTTGGAACAACGTTGGTAGCTCCTTTTCCACCCCGCCCGCGTTCGGCCGTGGCGGTGATGACTCCTTCAGGTACGCCATCTTTGCTATTCTGCACGGCACTCGAAGCTAACAGGTGCAGATTTGAACCTTTCCCGCCATCTTCGTGTACATCCGAGGGCTCTCAGCCTATGAGCCAACCCCAGTCCCAGTCCAAAGTCCGCCTATCACTCTCCCTAGAGGGCAAGGCAGAGCTGGTTTCCAACCAAGGCTCTCCCACTCGTGATCTCCCTCCTCGACCGTCTTCCACCACACCAAGCCTGCCACAGGTGCGGCAACGAAGCCTGCAACGCAGCCACAGCGCAATTCCAGCCATCACTCTTCCTCCCATCACAACTCTTACCAACTCCCTGCCTCCAAGGCTTATGCGAGGTCGGTCTCGTGACGTGCATGCTTGGGAGTCCTGTGCGGATGCTGAGAACCGTGACGAGCTGACAGCCCAGGCCGAGCACGAGTCGAATGGATCGGCCATCGCTGCAATCAGTCTTCTTCGATCGTCGAGCGGGATCCTTCAGCCGAGCAACGCTAAGCGCAATGCTCCCATGCCAAAGCCTCACCGATCCCACCAGGCAAAGAAGGCCAAGCTGAACCGTAGCGGATCGAGCGTGGCGCGATTTGAAGCGGACACCGAGGACACCGAGAAGGCCGACAGGGAGTTTGGCAAGGTGAAGGTCTCGATGCTGGTTTCACCTTCGGGGGACTCGGATAAGGAGAACTGGAGCCCGGACGAGGATGGTAACCCATCGGATGCCTATCGACGACCTCTGCCACCTCCGCCTCCCAAGAGCCAGAACCCCCGTCGAGTCGGACGAGCTCTTCAAGAACAGAAGAGCCCTAGCCTCTTGGCAAATCGAGCCAATACCGCGCCCGCTCGCCCTCGATCAATCATCAAGGAAGGCATGGAGATTTTCGAGGATACGCTTAAGCGGCCGCCACCCCGAGAAGACGAAGTGGATAGATTTATGCGAGGGTCAGTCAGCCCTAGCAAGAGGCCCGACATGGACTGCGTGGCTGGACTGCTCTCTCTGAGCCAGGGTGCCTGGCGATGAGATGTGTGCTATATTGAACCTCATGGACTTAATGGACGGAGGAACGCCTCTGAATGACTTTCATATCATGTTGGAGGCTGCTGGAGTACGATCCCAGAAAGGGTGACCGAAAATGTTTGCATTTACACGACCTGCTATTGTCTCGGTTTAACGGTTCGGGTACGGATGGTGTTTTGTTAAGTGTACTGGCTTGATGATGGTGGGGAATTGGCTCTGGGCTATGTACGGATGGTTGGGTTACTCGGATGGTTTGGTCTGTAGATATTATCGACATTCGCCCGAGAATGCTTGACTTGGTACAGCCAAGGTCCAGCTTCTTGAATGGAAATGAATGCAAAGATTGACATGATAATCAACTTATGAAGCGCCTGGTACTTGGGCTTGGTGCTGGATTGACTAGCGGTGATATCTGACTACACATGCACGCTACGATGAGACACAATGGATTAATGTGGCTCATAGACCTGAAAATCGAGGCTAGGGGGGTTCATCACCGAGTTTATTAAGCTTAAAAAAAGCATAACTAGGAGCCTAGGAGCGCGTTCTTAGCTGGGGTCTTGATGGCGCATAGTTGACACCAAATTGGTGTTGGATATGGCCTCGGGCCCATATCTTGATTGTCTAGGTAGGTATGTAGTAGATATCTAAATGTCTAAGAAACCAATCCTTCTTATTCTTGCTATCCCGGCTTTCCTCCTGCCAGATTGAGGTTTTTCCATCACCCTCTATGTCTGGGTGCTCAAAAGAGAGTATTAAAAATGTACCAAAACGCCAACAACTCCTTGCCAGGGCCCAACCCTTTCCAACAATACGACAAGCCAGCTAGCGGCAAACAGAGAGCTCGAGTGTTTCCTCAAAGTCCAAGGAGGCTCATCTGGCGACGGATGGGACTTGCGCTGACGCTGCCCTCTTCGCTCGCATAGCAGGCACTGTCGGTATCGATATCCCAACCAAAGTCATCCTCATTGTCGTTCTCCGCGGTGTCGGCATCAAAAGGCTTCTGTGCAGCGGCACGCACGTTCCAGCGAAGAGTGCGGCTCACACTGTCGAACCACTCTGTGTCGGTACGTGTGACCGTGGGGAACGGGTACTGAGAAGCCGTGATGGTGACGTGGTCGCCCTGGCGAAGCTCAAGACGACCCTTGCCGTCAAAAGCGCAATAAGCGGTTGCGCGAGAGTTGCGCGGAACAGAGACGCGAAGGGCCATGGTATCAGAGAGGACCATGGGTCGGAAGGAAAGGGTATGAGGGCAGATGGGTGTGAGAAGAATGGCAGGAATATCTGGATGCACCAAAGCACCACCAGCGGAGAGAGAATACGCAGTGGAACCTGTAGGGGTGGAGAAGATGCAGCCATCGGCCTGGACAACGGTGAGAAGCTCGTCGTCGCCGTACAGCTCGAGGTTTGAGACATAAGGGGAAGGACCTCGATCGATGACGAGCTCATTGAGCACCTCAAATTGCTCAGATTCCTCGGGCTGTGCCGAGCCGCGGGCACCAGACCCACGATTGTTACGGTGAACAGTGCAGGTGAAGCGCATGCGGAGGTTGATCTTCATGCCATCGTCACCCATTACTCTGTTGAGGTGCTCCTTGTACTTTTCAAACTCAAAAGTCGTCATGAAGCCGAGGCTGCCGAGACTGAATGAGAGTACAGGGGGGACAATTCGCTGGAACAGCCAAGAGGTAAAAAGAACGGTACCATCGCCGCCGAGGGTCAGGACGAGATCGAACTTTTCGGGTTGGCTCCAACACAAATCAGGAGTCCAGTACTTGAGCATATGCTGGAACCGCGGGTTCTCGGCGAGCAGTCCAGATGCATCGAAGCGTCGGGAGCCACGAAGCTTTGCGTCGACATAGACGTTGACGCCGAGGTCGGAGCCGTAGCGTGGGGTTCGCAGGAGCCAGGCGGCGAGCTCGCGAGTGAGGTAGACGAGCTGGTTGTCGCGCGCCTTGGTGACAATCATGATGTTGCGGACGGCACGCTTGATAGGACGACGCTGAAGTTGCTTCGAGACTTCTCGAACACCGGTCGCAGTAGCGACGAGACGGGAATGCGACATGGAGACATCGTTCTTAATCTCCTCCAGAACCTTGCCGATGTCGACGGCATCTGCGAATCGCTGATGGTAAAAGCATGGCGATTGCAGCGTCGAGGCCAGGATTGTCGCAGCTACATCGGAAGAAGTGGTATCGGCGCTGGTGGTGGAAGTGTAAGTCCGAGCAGTAGTGGGCGTAGGAAGGGTCGTGGGGGTTGAACGGGATTTTGCCAGGTCGTTGAGCGCATCAGTCAGGCTCTGCGAGGATGCAGTGCCACGGGAGGCATTCATTGTAGCGTTTGGTGCGCTGGACAGGGCCGAAGTAGCAGACGAGGTTGAAGAAGATTGCGATTGAGATTCTATTTTCTCGCTGGATGAGAGCATGTTGTTGAGCGAAGCTGGTAGCGCGAGCGAGAGAGCGTCGGGTTTATGTTGTCGGGAAACCGAAGAGGTCATAACCTTCGGGGCAGGATTGGCCCGATGAGCCTGGGGCTGAAGTGAGGCGTAGGATGAAAATGAGGCAAGGGAAGAAGGAGGCAGAGTTGAAGGAGGAGAGAATGGTGAAGCTATGTTTGACAGAGCCGTGTCTTTTTGGGGAGATGACAATGCAGCAGCACTTGAGGGTCCACAGTCTCCTACAGCGGCGGCAGAGGGCGACCGAGAGTGAGGTTTTATAGTGTCCCTGTCCCTGGGCAGGCCTGCACGAACTGGCGACGACAAGGACAAAGGGGAGGGCAATGGCAACGGTGTGCCAACATTCGCTTGTTCAGCTGTACCCCGTGCTATCTTATCCTTGTCGACGTCGTCGGCGAATGCGCTGTGGTTGCGAAGGATAAGAGGGCAGGACGAAGACGAAGGAGTTAAGCAACCGCCTTCCCGGGGGCTGCCAAGCGGTGGGTGGAGAGCCGTGGGCGACGCGGCACAGAGCACGCCTGTCATTTTGCCGGTGCTGGTGGAGGAGAGGTGGACTAGACTTGGATAGACTTGGAGGGGGGCGAAGGAATTGGTGGACTTGATCAACAGAAGCCGCCCAAGTCTTTCCTTTTTGTGGGTTAGAAGTCGAGAGAAGCGAAGAAGGACCCCCAAAAGGATCAAAAACCAAATAAACCGGGGGGTTGATGCAGCAAGCACGCGATGTGTCTCGCCGTCGTCCAGTTTTGTCTCGTGCTTTTCCACTTTGTCTGCTGGCCCAGCCTTTTGTTCAGCTTGTCACCCCTTTCTCTCGTTTCCTTGTCAGCTGGCGATAGCAACAGAAACTCCCTGCTGCAAAGTCCGACGGGGGGGTCAAAGGGCGGAGAAGAAGCGGAGTCTAGCGGAAGATGCGAACAATGCCGTCGATGTATCCGTATCGGGTACGGGTACCACAGGTGCGCTGCGCTGCGCTGCGTCCACGTACAGTAGGAAATCCGGCCGGTAGGTGTGTCGCAACCGATCAATCTCGCTCAGGCAGTAGAAACCCACCAGGGGCCGGCCCGACAGGGAGGATACAAATGACGTCGCAGCGCGAGTTTCGTCTCGATCTCGTCTTGTCACCTCGCGTCCTTGTGATTCCCCAGACGGAACACAAGGGTAAACGGGAGATTGAGTCAAATCACCTGGCCATTCCCATTAGCTTGTTGGTCACTCAGATTGTATTAATAGCCGCCATGCAAATGCCTCTCGACTTGGAGCGGTGCGGCTTGCCAGGCAACACCCAATTGGGCAGAAAAACTCACCCACTCTTGTAGTCTTCGTCAATCGAAAACTGATTCCCGAGACCCCCGTGACAACTAATTAGAGACCGTTGTCAAATCTCGTCAGAACCCCCGTCGGTTGCGGGGGGCAGACACGGGCAGTGAGATGCGCCAGGGATGGCAATGGCGTCCAAGGCACGCACACAACAAGAGCCGAGCCGAGCGGGAGGGACTCGCCGCTATTGGTGGTGGTTGTGATGAGACGACTCAAGCCGCAGAAGCACAAGGTGCACGTGGGTGACGCGAGGAATTGGGACCGAGCACCAAGAAGCCGGGTCGCAATGTTGGTTTCCCCTTGTTGGTTTGACCTTTGTCGGTTGCGGGCGACGTTGGCGATGTTGGTCGTTACAGCAGCAAACTGTGGACTGGATATGGAGGCGTGCAGGGGTTGTCAACGCCAACAACGGTAAAGGCGACAGTTAACGGGGCCACGGAAGGAAGAGGCGAGGACCACGGCCGAAGCAGGATAGAAGCGCAAGGACCAAGGATCCAATGCAAGGACCGCTTCCTGGCTGCAGAGTGCAGGATGCAACACGGACGCAGCGACCAGTCTCAGCTGCAGGCCGCAAGATGGATGCGATGCAAGATGAGAAAAGGCGCAAGCAACCCTTCAACGACCAGCGAAGAAGTCTGGGGATGAGGCGTGAGGCGTCGGGAAGCGCAGCACGCGAACAAATGAGAACAGGAGAGGAGAGAGGCTTGAAGGAAGCCGGGTTCTCGGTTCACAAAGCGGATGCCAGCGCGCAGCGCCAACTGAAGTCGCCCAGACCACAGACAATTTGATAGAGCAAGGGGTTGACGGTCAACAACCACCTGTCAAGGGACAGTAATCAATCTGTAAGCGAGCGAGCGGCTGAGCAAGCAGAGCAGACAAGACAAGACAAGACAAGAAAAGTGAAAGTGGGTGTGCTATGCAGGAGACTCCAGAGCCTTTCACTGCAGATTGATCGAACGAATGTATGAATGAGGGAGATTAAAAACAAGATGTAAAAGAAAGGTACCGAGTAGGTGGTTGTTGAATGGAATGGTGAGACCTGCTGCCGTGGACCAAGACAACTGTTTCTCGAGGGCGCTCCTGCTGTCTTTAATACTCTATTTTCTGTCCATGGTCTTGCCTTGAGTCGTCGTGAACGCTGGGTGTTTGAGTCGCAGCTTCCCTCTCTCACCGTTTTCTGGGGTCTAGCGTTAGAGAGACGAGATACGCTGCTACGTACAGCGATGGATCCCAACCCCCTTCCAAGAACCGACCCGACACCAAAACAAAGCCCCTTCTTTTGCCTCCTTGTGACAGCTCGTCTCCTTCGTCTGGCGCCGGCTGAGACGTCGATTATCGACGACGTTGCAATCTTTAGTCAAGGGGGCTTATCCCATCGTCGTCCTGTTACTCCCTTCCCGGTGGGTGGATCCTGGATCGAATCGGCGATGGGTTTCTAACGGTCTGGGGCTGTCGCAGATTTCCACGCTCGGTTTAGCGAGTCTATCTCCTTGCTTCCACCAGAGCGCACTTATCACCATTAAAGCACTATCTAAGACTCTACGAAATTAATATAAGAGTAGGTTAATCTGTTATCATAATTTTGGTGAGTATAGAAAGAGACTCCCCATATTTGGTCCAGACCCCTCCTGTTGATAGTCCCGCGCAAGCAAGGAGATGTTGTGGCTGCGGTGGCTGAGAGGTTTGAATCATGCGCATTATGCGCATTATGCATTGTATCCATGGTCCTTTGATGGTGATGGTTGAGCGACTTTGTGATTCAATTTCTGACCGCTTGCATTATGATCTTGCTCGTGATTCTAACAACACTGCAATGCCAACAAATATCATCTATTCTTGCCGATTTTACCTTGAAAATCGGTGAGCAAAACAGTCACTAGATGTTCCATATCATCTCGCCTCCATCCGCTGCAACTCCAGCTGTCATGGATGTTTGGCAGCTGTGACATGGCGGATCAACACCCACAAAGCCAAGCACAACCAACACTTGCCCATCGAAGCGCATGGCCGAACTGATAGGCTGTGGCAGGATGTGGTGAATGTCACATTGATAGGATGCCTAGTCTAGGGCAGACTCGAAAACACGGCCCGCTAATACTGTGGCAGTCCGTCTCATAAGCGCTCTGCGTGACCCCTAGGTTGCTTTCATGGAAGCGATTCGAGAACTTGCAGCGAGTCAGTTGCCATGAGAGACACACTATCCCTTTTGCTATCTGCAATAGTTGGTTCTCGTCACAATCCACTAGACGAGCTGAAAATAGATACTGGTGGTTGTGCTATCACGTACATCATCACAATCACTCCAACCCAACCCAACAACCATCACATTTTATCACATGGCGAGATAAACGAGTAAAAATTCAATGTATCTTTCACCTTCTTCCTTTCTACGGTATCGCAACGGTATTCGCAAGACGGGGTCCTTGGAGTTGGTTTCGAGGCTACCCCTTTGGTGTTTGACGCTATGGTGAAACACCGCCTGGTTCTTAACCAGAGAGGAGCTATACCATAGATTTTTCGTCCGCCACCAGCCCAGCCCAGCCCGGCTAGGAGTGCCGAGGCTCGAGCCGCTTATGCTTGGCGGTTCCTCGAGCACTTTGGGGTTGTTGCTGCTTGACCCATTGGAGGCTGGGATCAAATCTCAGATTGTCGGAAACCGCCAAGCATCTGCGGCTGGCCTCAGAAGAGCTCGGTTAGCAGTTCGCCGCGCCCTGATGCTGAGATCCATATCAATGCACATCTGAAAAGTGATATCTCGTTAGGCGCGGTCAAGGTTTGATGCCCATCTTGGCGGTAAGTGGGAGTTAGAGAAACCCGGCGCATCATCATGCACTGGATGTGGCACGTCACTTCCAGTACAGGTCTTCTTAGCAGTTCGCCGCTGAGGTAATAAAGGTGAACCTCGAGGAGTCTGAGGAGGAGTGTACTGGACAGCTTGCGAATCAGGGAAACCGTGGACATTTCGTAGGGGCTCTAGGCCGAATGGCATTTGAAAGGTGTGTGTTCCTTTTCACAGGTCGCCAGAGCACGTACGCGTATCCCAGTTGCTTTAGACGTGGGACTCTGTAACGTGCTCGGCTATAGCATGGCTGAGTTGAAAATCTCCTGATAAGTGCAGCCGTCTTTTGTACATGTCGCTAGGACAAAGGAGTGTTGATCTATCATGTGGTTGCGTAGAATGATGGGATACGAACTCCTACATTGAGAATAGTTGAATCACCGCAAAGCGTTTTTTTAAGGAGAGATTCTCCAATCGATGTGATGGGACGTATCGCGTAATGCACTTGTAGCATGTTTGCTCTATCTAGGTACTTAGGTAGAAAGGGGGTTACTGAGCCATCATGATGTCTTAATTGAAGTCTATCTCAATGTCAAGGTCTCTT